TTCATAAATTTACCCTTGAAGATAAACTCAAGAGTTCAACTTGCGATTAAACTACGGTTAAATGTCAAGTTGTTTTAACTCTGTATAAAGGTTAAAAACAAACTTCCTCATTACCTTTCTCTTATACACCAATTGTTATTTAATATTGGAATACCTTTGTTTAAATAAAAGAAAAAATATTTCTCGTTATTTAATATTATGATAGAGCTGTCGCACGCGATTTCCTTTCGTGCTGAATTAAAAAAAAACTTAACTAGTAGCCTATCTCCCAGACAATGTTCTATATGTATGACAAATTACATCGATATCGATTATCGATATATCGATACATATATCGATATCGATACATATATCGATATCGATACATTCGCATATATATTAGTAAGATACAATTTATTTAACTTTAAATTAGAAGTTCAGAAAGTGTAGAAAGACAAAAGAATAGTCTTAAATCTATGATATTAAATAAAATATTAAAAAACGAATAATTTACTAAAAATATATTATTAAAAGGAGTCCCTTTAGGTAAGGTGCCGAAGATACTGGCAGCGTTCCCCCTTTGGACAGCTAAACTAATTCTTTGACCGAGGTAGCTGCCAGCTTTTCGGTCCCCTGTGATATCGATTAATTTTTTGGATATGTCCTTAAAAAGTCTTAAAGCGCTAGGACCCTACGGACCAGGGGTTTCGACGTCGAATAGGACAAAATGATATTCGGAGCCTAGACCCCTGTATTTACATGCTTTTGCATTTTTCAGTAAGATTAGCTGTCGCCCGTGACTCCGTCCGCTATGTTGCTCCATGCTATTTTGTACATCTATGCCAAATTTTATAGAGATCCATGCAGTTTTTTCTAAAGATAAATTCAAACAAAAATCTATCCATACATCAACCTTGTCCATTCCTCCATCTATAATAATAATAATAATTTATTTAAAACAAAGTACACATAAAAATATACATCAGTTGTTGGAGCATCCTTTTAAGTATATAATACCTGTGACAGAATGCTCCGTTCTTCCGTACCATACATTTATATTTTTATTTTTTTTACAATATCATATACCTTACAAATAAACAAAAAGAAATGATAAGCAATTTGGGTAGTTACAAAGAGAACACCATTCATTAAAACATTGCGGGTGTTTAAAATTATGTTTCGAGCGATCTATATAATTCGCATTTATAATATTAGTAAGAAGTAAGATTAAATTTAAATAGTTCGAGTGTTGTTGTATTGGAAAATACAATTATTGAGTTATATTACTATTAGGAATAAAATCCGATGTGCCGGTGTGACGCAACACTAGCCTTATTAGTCGACGTTTATGTCCCCTCACTACATCTGACACTTGACTTTGTAACGAAAGCGCGCCATTCGCGCCAAAGAATTCCAACTGAAGCCTAAATCTTATATCTTTAAATGACCAATTCTTGTGTGTATATATATATAATCGGAATATCGGAATCGGCTCCAACAATTTTCATAAAATTTAGTATATAGGGGGTTTCGGGGGCGATAAATCGATCTAGCTAGGAATCATTTTTAGAAAATGTCATTTTATTCGTTTTTTATCGATAATCAACTTAAACATAAACTTTTTCTATCGGTAACATCGAAAAATATTATTCATATTTCATCATTTTATTAGTAATTCGTACTTAAATATAATTTCCAAAAAACACAATTTAAAAAAAAATACCGAGCAAAGCTGCGGTCATCCAGGTACTAATTATTTAACCCGTATCCCTGTACATTAATATGTTATTATCAAATTAGGAACATATCTTTCTAGTTATTTAAGTTAATTGAATATTTCAAATAACATAATATATATGTTTAAATTATTCCAAACGAGATATCGCCCGTATATTTTAAAGTATTGGTACACAAATGGGTCATTCAATAGTTTAAAATGTAAACAATTTTACTAATATTCAATCAAAACAACACCCAATCATCGTGTATATTATAAATGCGAATGTTTGGATGTATGTTTGAAGATATCTCCGGAACCGCTGAACAGATCTAGATGAAATTTAACATACATATAGAACATAGTCTGGAAGAACACATAGACTAATTATGTTGTTTTTTTTATTTATAATTTAAACATTTTATTACCTCAATTGTAATTTACATTTACAATGATATCTTACTTATATTATAAAGATTATAACGTGATTATCGTATCACGTATTTTTCATTATGTCATTAAATTATTATCCTGTTAAATTACTATTGCTACCTAATATATTAACTAGTCGTCGGTCACGCAAAATTGAAAATAAAACTTGATTCGTAACCCACGTGTTCTTCCAGACTAACAGTGGTAGAGCCCGCTTTAACATCTTCACACGAATACGTCCGGCTCGCTCAGTGAAATACCACGACCACACAGAAGACGCTTCAAGTGGAAGCAATTTTAACTACAGTCTGATAAGTGTGCGTCCCGGAGACCTAATTTAATCCTGTTTCTCTTCCCAACCTTTTTCTTATATGGAAAGGATGGGTCGTGGAAGTGGACTTTTCGGATGAGAGGATGCATGGGAAGGGAAAATATTATATTTCTGTGCATCCTCTCTTCCGTCGATTAAAGTTAGGCAACGCATATGCAGATCTCTTGTGTCGGAGGCCAAGACCCACTTTGGGTCGATGCGCCAGCGGAGTAAGTAAGTAACGCATATGCAATTTGGTATGTCTATGAGCAAGGGTCACTTCGATATTTCAGCGATTTCAGGTGGCCGCTAACTCGTTTGCCACCTTATAATATAAAAAAACTATGTTCTACATCTATGACAAATTTCATCGAAATGTATGCAGATGTTCTGGAGATATCGTCAAACATACAAACATATAAACTTTTGCATTTATAATATTAAGCCGTCTTACTAAACTACATCCGCGCGGACTTAAATAAAAAACTTAATTAATAGTCGTCTATGTGTTCATCCAGACTATGTTCTACATCTATGATCCAGCCATTCTTGAGATTCTTCTAACAATCATCCATAAATCCATTCACCCAAGATCCATGTAGCAGTTCTGGAGATACCTTCTAAAATACATGTAGAAATCGCATTTTTGACGAGATAATTGACACGTTAAATGCCAATTAAATCGCATATTTGTTTTATTTATAAATTCAATTCTCGATTACGCATGAATCAGAAAGGTTGATAATGTCAGCATATTGTTGACCACAGATAATATAGCACAGGATGTTATTTACAGGAAACGCATACATACCAAAAGAATTTGTGTATAGCGACATTTAAACACAATAAAAAAAATCATGAACCGTCCTTACCGAGTGTCTCGGAGCCTATCCAAGCGATAACAATAGCCAATACGTCAATTTGTGGATGGTCAATTTGCAGATTTTTTATAGGAGAAGGGGGCAAATGAGCAACGAATCGGCTAATATTATTTGATCTGGCGCCCATAGACATCCGCAACGCCAGAGGAACTGCAGATGCGTTGCCGGCCTTTAAGGAAGGTGTACGCTCTTTTCTTGAAGGCCAATAAATCGTCACTGTACGAAAAAATCATTTTTATATTGCTCTGTCGGTGCCTATCTTAAGTGACTGGGTGCCAGTGAATACTTCACACATATCTTTGACTTTCTCAGATATGCAGCATCATAATTCCTTCACCGTAACGCCGGATAAATGTACATATTTATATGTAAAACACATAGCGAGATTCGAACCCAGGACTTGAATATTTCAAGTCAACTGTTTAACCCTTGAGCCGCCGACGCTAAAACTCTATAATGTTGCTTAATTGATCGAGCATTTTGCGATGTTATATAGAGTGAAGTAAAAAAATTTATTTTTCTATTTTACAGTAACTTATATCTTTATATATATAATTCTTCTGTGAGTGTGTATGTCACTGAACTTCTCTCAAACGACTGGACCGATTTTGATGAATTTTTTTGTGTGTGCTCAAGGGGATCTGGGAATGGTTTAGATTCACAATTTTGTCCGCTGGACAATGTTTTTTTAATTAATTTTTAATTTATTAGTAGTTGTTGATTTTGGAATATTTTACATTGGATCCGACAGACGGAGCTACCATCGAAGTGTCAAATTTTAAATAATATTCGAATTTTCAAATTAAAGACGTGTAGACAGGACAACGTCTGTCGAGTCCGTTAGTTTATATGTAAATTTTTCAATTAGTAATCGGGAAGTGGATCCGATATGTTAGATTTGATGACAAACATAGGGACAGATACAAAATAAAATCTTGTATTAGGAATTATGTTTTTCGACCAATGGTCGACCACTGTTTGCACTTAGTTCGGGAAAATCCAATGTTTTTGTTTATTAAAATGCAAATTCCTCATACTAAAGATTGCGGTCGTGTTTCCGAGATATTAAAATCATAAAATATTTATCGATGGAAATTTTTACGAGAAATATTTTATCATGTACAGTTAAGGACCTTTGCAACCCATTTCTATGAAATCCATGACTTCTATAGAGTATCGTAAGCCACAATTTTACGAATTTCACGACACATATGAGCTGAAAACTAAAGACCTTTATCATCAGCTCACTATACATCCCCACAGAGGGGCTCGGAACCTACCCTAAGCTAAGGGTGATTAGGCCATAGTCAACCACGCTGGCCCAGTGCGGGTTGACTTCACACATATCTTTGACTTTCTCAGATATGTGCAGCATCACGATATTTTCCTTCACCGTAAGAATAGTCATATAAATGTACATATGTAAATCGAAAATTAAATTGGTACATGGCGGGATTCGAACCCAGGACCTGCAGATTAGACAATGCATCACATATAATTTAACTTTAACATACGTCAACCCTTATATACCGTGAAAAAAACGCCCGGCGCGGATTTTTGACAAATCATGGCCATTGAAAACATTATTATGTTTATGTTATGTGTATCACCGGCGTTCAAAGGGTTAAAACACATGTTTAACTAAATTTTTGGTGTTAATATTGTTTATCTTCTTTCCCAGATAAAATGATAATATGGCTCGGAGCACAATATTTGCCGCAGTTTTCTACATAATCTTAAGTACAGGGGCTTATGCGCAATTTTATGGTGAGTATTGTTTTGAACACTAAAAAAATACGCCAAGGAAATTAAGGATGGATTGTGTGAAAGAGATTTTGGATAAGAAATGTATTTTCAATACTGGCTTCTATCTGTTTTGACCCAACCTTTGTCACCACCGGGTGCCTCGGGGAAAGCCACTCCGGTAATGTGGGACTCTCTCTACATCCCTAAAGGGACATGGAGGCTACCCACTAAACCCCCTCTGGTTCCCTCGACTCACTGTTTACTGGAGTGTGCGCATGTAAATACTCTTCGCACACAACCTTTGTCGGGCCTAGCAGACGACACGGCATAGTTCTAAAGACCCTAAAATATGTATAAAAATTTTAAGCAAGGCAATATAGAACATAGGCTGGAAGAAAGCATAGGCACGCAAACGGAGACGCGGGCGACCGCTAGTATGTTCCTAAAAACAAAAGTCATTTAAAACAGAAATATGTTAATTCATATATGACTGCTGATAGAGATGTATGAAAGAGTAAACTACGTAGGAAAAGAGTAGTAGAGAGTTAGGGTAAGGTCAGGTGAGCTAAAGTAAGGAAGGGGGCGCCACAAGGGCGAGACTGAGATATAAAACGCCCGTGCTGCCCCCTAAGATATCCTTCTTCTTCGTCGTTACAGTCTTGTCAGACTGGTCGTGGTCATCAAGTATCAGTGACCCACTTTACCAGGCGCCGCCACTCCTCTCTAGTCGCTGCCTTTTTTGTACATTGGTGCAGGGGGACATCCACAGCCGCTGACTTCGTCGGTCCACCTCATAGGCGATCTTCCTCGTGGTCTGTGGCCCTCAACTTTGCCCTGCACCACCAAGCGCTCGATGGATTCGTCATCGCCTAAGATATCCTATGTTTGATAAATTTCTCCCAACGCAATAATCTCGCCCACGGCGCCCGGAAACGTTAAAACCGACCCCGTGAAAAGGACAAACTGATATTAATTGTATATTAAAATTTTATATAATTTCAGATTTCTTAGAAGCATTACAACCTTTAGTAAAATCGTATCCATCATTTGGAGATTTCTCTACATATGACAATATATTTACAACGAAAAAACCTAAAACATTCAATAGAAATCCGACAAATCAAAGAACAGAAGAGAAGAAAGAGAGAAGAAAAACACCAGCTGCGATCTCAACGTTAGAAAGTTATTTAAGAGATGACGCAAGAAAGAAGGAAAAGATAGGACAAGATGTATCAACAACATTTAAACCTGTGAATAAAAACACCAATCATAGGAATGACAATCAAAATAAACCAACAAACATAAGAAATTCTTCAAGGAATACAGCAAGAGAAATACACAGCAGTTCAAAAGAGAATTCCAGAAGTACATCTAGAAATAACAACGATCCTTTATCAGTACATGATAATAACAATGAAAAAAGAAAACATAACGATGATAAAATATCGTTCATAACAAGAACAACAAAAAGATATGAAACAACAACAAAAAGGAACAGTCAATCATCAGAAAACTACGAAAAACAAAACAATTACAACATACAATCAAACAATAACAAAAATAATAACAATAACTATAATTCCAATGAAAATATTCATTTCCCCAACAACGAACAAGATAACAGGCCATCAAACAACCAACCTTTCAAAAGTCTTACCCAATCAAACGAATACGTCTCTCAATCCACAAACAGGGGATCGAATAGACAAAATAATCAAGGAAACAATAGACCTTATAATAACCAAAATACACAATCAGGCGAATATTCAACAAACAACAAAATATCTAAAAATTACGTCCTCACAACACAGAATCCTTTTTACAATAGACCAGGAGTTAGACCAGCTGTTGTCGACGATAAACGACCACCGATAACAAATAGACCACCATCAAGAAGAACTACAACATTAAAACCGGTACATGTATTACCAAAAGACACCAGAATCCCACCAGAATTGATAACAGTTCCTGGAGAAGATGCAATGAGTGAAGCTGAGAGATTACGACATATAGATGTGTCGGAAAGAAGTAAGTTTTTTTTTATATTATTAGGTGTTAAACGAGCAAGCAGACTTCCCGTTGCCCATAGACATCCAAAATTGCCTTACCTTAAAACAGTCTTTCCCAAAGTGGGCGATAACGCCCCCTTGTGGGCGCTGCAGGTCTCAAGTTGCAGGTTATAGTAAAAGTTTCGTTTACAATTCTCCGTTAATATACATAAATAGGTCACAATAATTAATTAATTTAATTTGAAGTTATAGTGGTTTTTAAATATGTGAAAATATGGGGGCGCTAAAAAAATATTTATTCTCAAAGTGGGCAGTAGACAAAATAAGTTTGGGAGCCTTAAAGGTAACGCATCTGTAATTTTGGACAGAGGAGGGAACGCCAAACGGGATATTTCGCATTGATCCACTTTCCATTTTTTTTAATTATAAGATGGCAATCAAACCCGCATACCACTTGATGTTAAATGTTGGTCGAGAGATGGTTCGGGGTAGCTTACCAAATGCCTATTACTCTACTCTTGAAGGCTGATACGTCATACTTAGAACAGACCGGCAATTAGTTCCAATGCTTTGCAGTACATGGCACTATGATTTAAACCTTTTTGTTCGAACGTGATACTATATAAGGAAGGATTTACTACTCGTATATGCCTTTCTCCTGTTAGGTTAGGTTAGGTTAGTATTTTACTATATTGTGGTATTAAAATCTTTCTTATATATTTCAGTGTGCAGTAAATATAAGAAATTATATACGAAACAACTCCAGGCTATACCATTGGTGCCGTCTCCGGAACCTCTTGAGATAAATGTGACGTCATGCGCTCCATCAAAGATCCCCCTTATTGTTGGGGGTAAAGTCGTATCTATAAAAGATTTTCCACATATGGCGCTGATTGGATGGGTGAAGTTGAATGTAAGTTAAACTCATAGCACTTTTTTATATCATAAGGTGGCAAACGATCGACCACCTGAAATCGCTGAAATAGCGAAGTGACCGTTGTCCATAGACATACGCAATTGCATGCGTTGCCTACCTTCCTTCCTTCCGTCTTCCCATGCATCCACACAACCAGAAAGTCCACTTCCACTTTCCATTCTTTCCTTATAAGAAAAAGGGTGGGGAGGGAGAGGACTAAATAAGGCCTCCGAGACGCATACTCATCAGACGAAACGCGGCATTGCTTCCCCTTCACGCCTGTCTTCTGTGTGGTCGTGGTATTTCACCGGGCGAACCGGGCCAATTCGTGCGAAGATGTTAAAGCGGGCTCTACCACTGTTAGACTGCACCGATTCTTCGTGGTTAGATAACATATAATGTCTACTCTTTCCGAAAACATCTTCAGGAAAACCAGATCAGTATAAGCTCTTTATTCGCGGGAGTGACCTTAAATAAGCCGCAAATACATAAACCCATATTGGAAGTGCTCCCAACATCGTCTGCGTGAAATACTGTCTTTCCGTCCCCTTTTCAATCACATTTTTGCGTTAAAAAGTAGTCTGTGTCCTTTATCAGGCTCCAGAGTATCTGAGTACCAAATTTTATTTAAATCGGTTCAGTTTTTGCTAGAAAAAAAAGACAGACAGTAAAAGCGCTAATAAGGAGCTTTTACTATAATTCAAAATATAACCCGACTAAATACAATTAACCATGCTTCTGGAAGATTTCACTTTAACATAGTTACCTATTCCAGTATGACGGATATGCGTGGCGTTGTGGTGGTTCTTTAATAAGCGACCGCTTCGTTCTAACCGCCGCGCACTGCGCTTACGAAGAGAGAGACAACAGCATTGTAATGTAAGTGCATTAGTTGATAATAGATGGCGTTGGTGGCAGATTGAAACACGGTAGTGTTTTATTATTTTACGATTAACGAATATTATGTGTTAATTATATTATATGGCATAAAGATAAAGATAGATATTGCTTATTCTCTCCATTCATCATTATCATCAGCTCACTATACGTCCCCACCGGTTCGAAGCCTACCCTAAGTTAAGGGTGATTAGGACATAGTCAACCACGCTGGTCAAGTGCGTGTTGACTTCACACATATATTAGAATTTATTCTCAGATATGTGCAGCATCACGATGTTTTCCTTCACCGTAAGAACGTCGGATAAATGTAAATATGTAAATCTAAAAACCCATTAGTACATGGCGGGATTCGAACCCAAGACCTGCAAATTGCAAGTCAATTTAAATTAATCTTTTCATATAGATTCCGTGTTATATATTTTTTAATAAATCTAAATAAAATAGTAATAATATCGTTTATTTTACATTATTTTATCGTTAAGACTACTTTACTTACTGTAATATCAAATCTCTTTCTACCCACATATCTAGGGGTCCACCGAGAGCGGTACAATTAGGCTCGTCATACTTGGACGATCCCAACGCAGTTGTTATGAAGATATCTACGGTCATACGGCATCCGAGATATAAGTTGCCTAAAGCTTACTATGATATAGCATTAATCAAGATGTCGGACGCTGTCACGTGAGTAAATTGACAATCAGCTGTTATATTAACTAGCTATCGCCCGCGACTTCGTGCGCACTTAGTAGCTTATGTGTTCTAGAACCTTTCCTTCTGTGCCTTTAATCGATTCAGCCGTTGTGGAGATACCTTATAATAATTATCCATCCGTCCAACTTTCGCGTTAAAAATATTAGTAAGTTTTATCATTAGATTATTGGTCGCCCGCGACTCCGTTCGTGCTGATTAAAAAAAAACTAAGAAAGTAGTCTATGTGTTCATCCAGATTATGTTCTACATCTATGACAAATTTCATTAAGTTCCATGCAGGTGTTACGGAGATACCTTCTAATATACATCCATCTTAACATTTGTAATTATATACATATTAGTAAGATTAAGAATAGCGCCATCTATCAAATTGTAAATGAAAACATTACTTTAATAAAAACGTGTCTTGCAGTTTCTCGGAGTTTATTAGGCCTGCCTGTCTTGGTGTGCCACCAACACCGAATGAATCGTTCATTGCTACAGGATGGGGAAGGACGGAATTCGGTATGATATGACATACTAGCTTTTACCTGCTATTTCGTCTACGCAATTTAAAAGATATTAAAAAAGTCTCATGTTGTTACTCGTATATTTGTTCTATATCTGTGCTAAATTTTAATAAGATGTGTTGTTCCAGACTATGTTCTACATCTATATCAAATTTCAGCAAAAACCGTTCAGCCGTTCTGGATACCTTCTGACAAACATCCATCTTTACGTTCGCATTTAGGATATTATTATTTTACATCAAATAAAGTCAATAAAGATAAAGAAAAAGACTTACCTTATTAAGACACGTTCCATGCCGCCGAGTTTCATCACCCATCGCGCACAGCCGCGTTGTGAAAGTCTGTCCTCGGCGGTATTTCTGCACCAATACGACTTAGGGTTCTTCAAGAAGCAGGCATACCATTTACTTAAAGGCTGCCAACACAACTGCAGTTTCACTGGTGTTATGGATGTCCATGGGTGTCGTTGATCACTTCGGTTTCCTCGCCACTTGTTTGCTCACTTCTCTTATAACAAAAAAGTTTCCACTGCCATTCCAGGCGGTGACCTATCCAGGGAACTTCGCAGTGTATCTCTAGATGTTTGGGAGCCGGTGGATTGTATACGGGCGCTCGGCAAATCTCGCAAACTACCCAACGGACCTTCAAGTGACAGTCAACTATGTGCCGGCGTCAGGGAAGGCGGGAAAGATACGTGTCAGGTAAAAATGACAAGATATAAATGGATAGGTGATTGCTACAAAATGACAGCGTTCACTTCGTTCCGATTTGAACACGACTATTGAAGTTACGTGTTAGTTCATTCTATATTTATTATTAGTTCGAATCCTCATCACCGCTACAAACTAATACATTCAGCGCCAAAATGACGATAATCAAATAGGCACAAAATACTACGTCTTATAGCCTGTCTATTTATAGACGTCAGTGAGCGTGTCTATTTAAGAATGATTAGTTTGACAATTCACTAGAGATGGGTTGAGTAAAATCGGTTAACAATGTTTTCGATTATCGATGTTTGTTCTTATACTTACAATCGATAATTTCGTGATTATTGTTTTTGAATTAAAATATAAATAAAATTGTTTTTTTCCATTAGTTTTAGTTATAGATCGACAAAACTATCAAATCGAATGGACGTAAGTCAAACAAAATTAGGACAACTCACTAGCGCCCCTCTTAACTTTTGTGGAATACATAATTTTCTTATACGATTGATTAATTTTTTTTTACATAATTTCTTTCTAATACCGGATGAAAAGTGTTAAAGAAATATGCGATTTTTCTTTTCTTTATTTAATTCTTAATTTAATGATTTCAGGGTGATTCCGGTGGTCCGGCGCAGATCCAAGATGGCTGCGTATGGCGGGTGGTAGCTGTCACTTCTGTCGGTCGCTCATGCGGCGCCCCCAACACTCCTGCGCTCTACGCGATCGCACACCGAGCATTTATATCATCTGTGGTATACAGCGAACAATCACTCAGTTCTGAAATCGATCAGATCGATTTAAACGAACAAGGATATCATCCATCTCGTTCAACAGAAACATTTAATTATCAAAATAATAATTGGAAATCACAACAACGTAACGAAAATGTACGCAATCATGAAAATACAAGAAGTGTTGGGAATAATTATAATTATAATCAACAAAGCAACGATTATACGAATAATTATGAAGCTTATAATCAACCTTATTATAACGATGCTCCAACTTGGTTCTAGATTTTCGTAAATTTTACACAACACTAGCTGTCGCCCGCAACTTCGTCTCCGCGCTCTGAGATACTGAATATGCATATAAAATTTCATAAAAATCTGTCTAACTGTTTCAGAGTATGGTAATTCACATTCTGACACGATATCTTACTAATATTATAAATGCGAATGTTTAGACGGATGTTTATTAGAAGATATCTCCGAAACGGCTGCACGGATCTTTCTGAAATTTGTCATAGATGTAGAACATAGTCTGGAAGAACACGTAGGCTACTAATTAAGTTTTTTTTTTTTAATTCGGACGGAGTCGCGGGCGACGGCTAGTTTGATATATAAAGTTGCAGTAAGCCTAGACTGTCGTACCAATATTATTTCACGTTGACCAAATTTGAAAGATAATCGTTGTCCCTTTCATTCTTTTGGAAAAAATAAAGATGCAATATTTAAACATACATATTTCGGCTATGAAACAGAGAGTGACATTTTCAGATAACCTAAATCATAATCAAATCTAACATTCTATATTAATAAGACAGCAAAAAGACTGTTATTTGAATTTATAACAATAACCACATATTTATATTTAACAATAGATTCGTAATAACCAAATAAATATTCATAATTTCTTTTCCGGTTTTAGATTTCTATTCTAACCATGTACAAATTATATTTCTAAGTTTTTTGAGTTAACGGTTTTAAGTTTTTCTTTTTAATGAGATTATTAGAAATGTGGACGTATTTCTATTGTATTTCGCGTGTGTAATCTGATTTATATTTTATTATATTTGTACTTATTTAAGTTAAACTTTGACTGTAATTATTATTTAATTAAAGTAATTTAATTGTAAATATATATTATTTGGTTTTATTTCTATGAACCTACAGTAAAGGCACATCCCTATTAAATAAACATTTATTGTTGCCTATATAATTAATATTTTCAGTTAATTATGAATCATGTTTATGTGTGTTGAAACTGGCCACGGCCTGTAATTTTGTACGCAATATCTTAGATAAAAGTTATCCTTTGGTTAATTTTTTTTAAACTTCAGCAATTGACTGAAATCGACGAAAAAAGGAAACATATTAACATTATTAAATTAAGTTTTTGGATTTGCTTAATTCGATGCAGTATGCTTAAAATACCTTTGTCATTTCAAATACTTTTTGAAACCAGTCATCGAGTTGTCATTGTCATTTGCCAAATGTCAATTTGAATTTGAAAAAGAAAAAATCTTTTTCTTCTTGTAATTTGGAATATTGATAATAATACAATATTATAACCGTTATCTGATAAATATTAATCATTTCGTAGTCTTCGATCTCTCAATAACTAAAATGACTTCGAATGCGATTGAAAAATCTAATTGTATATTTTGTAATATAGTTAACAAATTAGAAAGCACTGAAATAATATATGAAGACGAAGATGTTTGTGTGTTTCGTGATATTAAACCGGCGAGTGATTTTCATATATTAACGATCCCGAAGAGACATATAGAAGATGCTAAGGCCTTAACTCCTGGTGACAAGAATTTAGGTAGGTAAAAAAAAAATTCCAAATTCAAAAACTTCGATTTGATGTTCTGATAATGTATGGCCCGACCAGGGATATTAAAAACCTAGCCATATCAAGACAAAACATCAAACTAATATCTTTAAACCTATAAGAAAGTGATGTAATAATTAAGTTGATTGAAGAGCCCCCAAGATTGGAAGGCTGGGATTTTCGATTCTTGGTTAGTCTATACTACTCAAGGGTATTTGCGTCAAGCAATGCATATCTACATTCGTCCTGTACTAAACTAATTAAAAATATATTCCCAGTCGACAGAATGCTGTGCATAGCTAAAGAACAACTGGCTAAGAACAACTTGTCAGTAGATGATGCAAGGTTTGGTTACCACTGGCCTCCATTCAGAAGTGTTAGACATCTCCACCTGCACACCATAGCTCCGGAATCCAAGATGGGATTGATATCAAGAATGATATTTAAAAAGGATTCATATTGGTTTGTCTCGGTAAGAATTATCTTGCTAATAATAAATATGAATGTAAACATGGAAGTTTTTTAGAATTTATCGCCAAAATGGCTGAACGGATCTTGATGATATTTGACATAGATGTAGAACATAGCCTGGTAGAACACATAGGTTTTATATTAGGTTTTAGACTATTACTCATCGAGGTATCATTTTCTGTATAGGGCTAAGTTCTGTTTGGAATTTTAAAAAAATTACTACAAGCCCGGCTGGCCTTGCCTTTGCAAAGATGAGAGAATCGCAAAATGTGGTGCATTAATAAAATAATATAAATTGCATCATGCATAACTCAACAACGCCTGGACCAATTTGGCCAATTCTTTATTTTTAAATGTTTGTTGGAATTCAAAGATGGTTTTTACGGCAAGAAGAATTCAAATAATTGCCGGGACACCCTCAAGGAACGTTTTTTTGACCAAAGAAAGGATGGAATGACTGTGTGAAAGAGGATATGCGTAGGAAGGGGGTAGACTCGGATATGACGGCTGATAGAGATGTATGGAGGAGTACATACTGTGCCGACCCTCGATAGAGATAAGGGCAGGTTGATGATGAATAATAATTAATACTAAGTTAATTTTTATCTTTTTTTTTCAGCCAGACTATGTTGATTCAAGATTATGCTGATAAATGAAATAGTCAGCAATTTTTATTTAGGAAAAATATTATAAGAGGGATGGGGAAGAAAGTTGTCAATAATTTAGTTAAAATATTAGTATTATTCTAAAATATAATGTCAATAGTATAAAAATGTATCCAAATAAATGTTTTTTTGGTAAAATACACTTTTATTTCATGTTACTAATATTATAAATGCGAATGTTTAGATGGATGTTTGTTTGAAGTTATCCCAAGAACAGATGAACGGATCTAGATGTAATTTGTCATACATATAGAACATAGTCTGGAAGAACGCATAGACTACTAATTAAGTTTTTTTTTCTAACTCCGAGCTCACGGAGTCGAGCGACAGCTTCAGTTCTTCCATTTACAATGTTATATTGAACTAGTTGTTGTAGTACTCAATATTGTCGATAGATGGCGTTGTTTTAAATATATAAGAGTTTCCAATTACTTTCCGCCATTTTGTTCACGTCATCCAATCACGTTACATTTCGCTTGGCGGGAAAAATAATTTTTACGACTTATGCATAATTATACGCTGTTTTGTTTAACATGTGATAACCATCAGCAAATCTCAAAATTTTAGTTGTGTTATCCATGTGCCCATGAACACTAATGGCCGGATGAAGTTGCAAGCGTGAGTATTCAATGTTTCTTTATGGATAGAGTTTGCTAACGTAACGTCTTGCAATCTTGCAAGCTTCTACAAAGGTCAGAAGCTGGTTAACTTTTTTAAATAACTTGTTTTTATATGTAGCCTAAAATCTCAGATACTAGAAGGTCAAATGTGCAAATACAAAACATGTTATAAATTTTTATTAATCAAATTCAATAAAAAAATAGTTATAAATTCATATAAAAATGTCAATTCTTAAAATATCATACATTCGATTAAAATGTAACAAATTTAGATTCACAATTTTTGTATACAAAATTCATATGTTTAAAAAAAATTACATTATGGTCGAAATGCGTGTTTGATAGAAATCCAATCAAATAGTTGGTACAAGTATTTTCAAATATCTTGGGGTCTCAAGGTCAACGGTGCGTTGCGCTTTGCCCTTCCCCCGCATTCCCCAACGCCCCTTTACATATAAAATTGTATTCCGCATCAACTCGCACGAAGTTAAAAGCCGCAAAGATATCTAAAATTTAGTTCCAACAATTCTTTTATTTCGTCTCTTCTGGTACAAACTCAAAAACATACGGATCATTCCCACCCCAACAAACTAAAGCTTGATCTGGCGACACTAAATCTTTTAAATTTTCCTTATTCGTAAAACGAAATCTCTCAACAGCTTTCGCTGGAAATAAACCTTTAATTAATTTAAATCCAGCCGACATAATCCATGGCATTTGAAATATAATACTATAATTAACAAACATAGGATAATAATTCTTCAAAAGGGATACCAAGTACATTATCAAATCAATGTCCATATTCCGTACACCACATTCGTTCATGTCCAAAAATAATGATATTGGACGACCATCTTCCTCTTTTTCCATTCTTTCTAACCAGTAAATTATTACTTTTTTTAATTCTTCTACATTCATTTGACCTTTAGTGTATAATTTCCATTTAGTTATAAACAAAAGAGATCCATCTTTATCCCTTCCGTGTGGAAAAAACATTCCAGATTTTAAATATTCGATGTTAACTTGTTCTTTAATATTATAAACATTATTTAATTTTCTCCATATTAATATATCCCATAGCATTTTTGTAGCTAATTTAACATTATTTTCACAATGATCTAATGTTCTTTTTATATATTTATCTGAGTTTACTCTTTCTAAATCTCTTATGTCAAATTCTCCGGGAGGATTCGGTATACCTTGCTTAATCTTTGCCTCGAACGTATTACGTACTTCTAATATTTTCTCCATTTTTTCATATAATTAATTAATTTAACACTTAATTATCTTCTTACTTGAATTTTTAACTTCTTTAAATATCAAATAACTATAACAATTTATTTTTAATTAAATTTTAGTTTAAATAAACACGTATTTACTTTGTGGACACTTCAATTCATACTAAAGCACAGAGTACTCCTAACTAGTGTGATAAGATCCGTTCACACAGACCGGGGCGGAGAGAGCAGATTTTTAACACAAACAAATTTGAACTTTACACGATTGAAAGAAGGTTTAATTATACTTATCACGTTTTGTATGGAACAATAAGTGGAGGCTAACGTGTGTCATTCATGACATATTTTTAACACAATAACCGGGTTCAATTGCTTGCTCTTTAAGACTAAAACTAAAAAACATTTAAACAGTGTTCTTCTTTTATGTGAAACAATTTAGTCGACGCGACGTGTATGTATTATTTTAAGAACAGCGCCGTTCGATGCCTCTATACGGTCTTTGTAAACGGACCTTTACTATTGGTTTCGACCAAGTTTTGACATATATTGTGGTCTCTCTTTTCACAATGATAATGTAAGAGACGACAATATATTTATCAATGCAGTCGAAACCTTCAATTGTAGATAATAAATGCAAATAACAACAAAACTCGTTATCTTTCGGAATTCGAATGACGGCCATGATAGTGGAATACATTATAAACATATATGGATTGGCTATAATAAGTAATATTTTGTGCCTGTTTGATTTTCGCCATTTTGGCGCTGACGGTAATAGTTTGTAGTGGTGGTGAGGATTGGAACTAATTTTATAGATAGAATTAACTGTCATATAACATTAACAATTGCGTTTAAATCGGAACGTAATATTGCAGTCACTTTTAACTAATCGCCTATCCATTTAAAGAGAAAAATACGACAAAATATAGTCAAAAATAATGTTTTATATTATTTCTACTTGGGTTCTGTAGAATTTGTAAACTCTTTTATGACATGTCCCTATTAAATCATTTTATAATGTTGGCATATGCGCCTAGAGTTAGTTATTAAAAAACGCAACAAAATCTTAAGACGATTTTTCTTGCGATTAACCGCGCGACAATGGACAAAACATGGCTACATTCAAAGCACTTATCTCTGGCTGACTACTGTCGTAGATAAGTGAATTTTTAAATCTTATTTTCCATAATATTTATAATTGACCTTTAGTTATTTTTAATCTAAATTAATACTTTATTAATTTAATTAAATATTCATTTAAGTTATTTTGAACTTTGACATAGAGATTACTGGAATTGCTAGCACTAAAGTAATTTTTTTTTAATTCCGAAAAAACAAAGTCGTAAGCAGCCAGTGGCTGTAACAATCAATACCATTATTTTATGGAATGGACTTTAATACTGACTCATTTTACTTCCCTACCACAGACAAAACATTGATTATACAGACCGATATGATATTAAAATACAGGATGTTCAAATTATTTTATGCTTTTATGCGTAAATGAAAAAAAAACACGAAATATGATGTGTAAATTCAGAGATAAAATGTAGTCTATCGTGTTTATTACGCTTTAAGCAATTTAACGTATCGTAAAGCATTTATTCTTATTTAATCCCCCCAAGTAGGGTTGACGTCAGGCATGCGGCCGACAATCAAAAATAAGCCAAATCCTTAAGGTTTATAAAAAAAGTGAGCCAACCCTATATGAGTGGTATAAGGCCAGGATTAAGAACTTTTCTTAGAAGATGCATTTTGTTTCTTTATATTCTCGACTTTCAAATTAAAGATTATGTAAAACTTGAATATCCCTCTGTTGCCGAAAAGGATATTTTTGTTCTGGTATTAATATAATTTAACTTATTTTATTACTATCATCTTGCATCAGCCTGTATAAGGATAAAAAAGCAACTATCAACGTTCAAGCATCCGATAAGGTTACGATTGGACATTGAACATTTGCTAAGAATGTTGCAAAAACTTTTTACATAACGTAGTGTGTTTAAAAACAAACGAACAATAATAATATTATAAAACAAACAAAAGTGCTATTAATTTGTGAATTTCAAATACGTCAAGTGTAAATAAACAAATACATTTGGATCTATAACATGTAAAATATTTATCAGAACTATAATAAAAATTGTTCAATTGTTTAAAAGAAATTAAGTGAAATATCGAAATTATAGAGTGAAAGTGTAGTTTGACATTTGACATAAACTTATCTACCATAGAGTAGTTGTGTTTTTTGTGACAAAACCGAACACGACAATACCGGTTTTTTATGTGAAATATTTTTCAAAAATTAACAAAAATGAGAAAAGTAGACGAATTAAGATATAAATTTCAAGAAAAATTAAAAGATGGCGTACCTAATCCTCCAGGTGAATTCGACACAAAGGACATAGAAAGAGTTAAAGACGATAAATATATGAATAGAATTATAGAACATTGCGAGGGTAACGTTGAATTAAGTTTAAAAATGCTTTGGTCAACGTTAATATGGCGGAAGAATAATAATATAAATAATATAAAAGAAACAGTTAACATGGATTATGTTAGAGAAGGTTTATTTTTCCCTAGAGGAAGAGATATAGATGGTTGCTTGATATTTATTTTAAAATGGAAATTATATAATAAAGGAGTAAAAAATGTTGAAGAATTGAAAAAAGTTGTTGTATATTGGTTGGAAAGACTTGAGAGAGAAGAATCGGGGAAACCAATAACTGTTTTCTTTGACTTAGATGGATGTGGTCTTAATAATATAGAAGTTGAAGTAGTCGCTTATATGATAACATTATTAAAAAATTATTACCCAAAATTTGTTAATTATATTATAATTTATCAAATGCCCTGGATTATGTCAGCTGGATATAGAATTGTGAAAGGATTATTACCAGCCAGAGCTGTTGAAAGATTAAGAGTCATAAATAAAGAAAAAATGAAAGATATAATCCCACTAAATCAAGCATTAAAATGTTACGGTGGTACTGATAGTTATGAATTTGAATTTGTTCCAGAAAGAAATAACGGTAACAAAAGAGTTAAATTCGTTGACGTTAACGCTATTGTACCGGTTATTCAAATAATCCCAAACGATTATCTAACGTTTACCATAGACAATAACAGTTTGAAATCGGAATTAACTGTTATTAATCCGAATAACGTTAGAATAGCGTTTAAAATACGAACAACTGGACCGGAAAAGTTTAAAGTGAAACCAACTTCAGGGATTTTATCTTCGAATGGAATGCAAAAAATATTAATTACAATTTTATCAGGATTTGATTGTAACGTAGCTGTAAAAGAAAGATTTCTGTTTTTATCTACTTGTATAGATGATGGTTTAACACAGAAACAAATAGACGAATTATGGCAGAATCCGAAAGCTAAAATCAATGAACACAGATTAAAATGTAAACTTTCGGTTGAAGAAAACACGGAACGAAAATCTACAATGATAGATTCAATGGACAAGCTAGATAGAAAATATTTTTATTTAATAAAGAGTGTTGATGTTTTAAAATCATTAGAGATTTTAACACTCGCTTTTAGTATAGTTTTAGTTGTTTTTGGATATCTTTTGTATAATATGACACGAAAGGTACATTGTGATGTTATGTAAGGGAAAGAAATCTATTTTTCTTAGTAGTCTAAATATTAATAAGTGCGAATCTTTAGATAGATGGATGGATGTTTGTTTGAAGGTATATCCGGCAAGGCTCAATGGATGTCGCTGAAATTTGGCATATAGAACATAGTCTGGAAGAACATGCTACTTATTAAGTTTTTTTAATTTAATAAAAATAATAATTTTATAGTAATAAAAAGTAATATGAAACATGGTTTTTATTCTTTCCTTTTATGTATCTCCTAATTTCTATTAATACTTCTTTCAAGGACACATTGCGTTGCTGATCGAAAAACTGTTTTAATCGAAATTAATTCTAATTTAGTAAGTAAAAACTCTAGACGGCGTAGTTATTATGTGATTTAAATATTCATTTAAGCGACGGATCTGTAAAAAAATAGAAATAACATTTTGTACGAAAGATTCAATTTGTCAATATAGTTCTAAAATCGAATATACTAAATTGATATAGAGGCACATGCTTAGTAATTTAAAAAAACTTTTCGTTGTGAAGTTCTAATAACATTACAGAAAAATATTAGATGTTTACATGTCGTTTCAAAAGATCTCAAGGTTATATCGTACTTTCGAAATGTAAATAACATGATAAGAAGAATCCCCTTACTTATAACGTATTATAAATCTAAGCCATATTTATTCTTATGAATATCAAATCATCTAAAATAAACAACATATAAAATTAATGAGGTTTGTGTTAGTTGATTTTATAAATTAATATTTCTTTTGTTTTCGACAAAAAGTTACTCAATTCAAATTAATATTAACAGGTGCTTACCAAAGAGTATTTGAGACAAAAACAACTGTTAAAATTATTTTATTTTATGTGCATTAAACACTAGTGTTGTTATTTCTTGTTAACGTTGTTAAAATTGTTATGAAAATAATGAAACTGTTCATTTTATTGTAGATTTAAATTGTAGTGTCATTCCTCACACTCATGGCTGGCATTAGTCTATAGTTTTACTAGTAAGATCCCTCACAGGGACTGCCCAGGGCGCTGGACATACAGGGCCGCTAAAGATCTCCAAATTACATAATCCTGCGAATTACTATTCACAATTTGTAAAAGTCTTTTTTTATTTTATCTAATTTTGTATTTTTTCTTATTATATAATGTTTATTAGCAATACTTTGAACTATACTTAGATTTTGGCAAACTTACATAACAATAGTAGTGATAATTGGCACATTTAGCACCGTTACTCATAACGTGTTAATATACTGTTATTTCAATAACCGAAACAGCTATATCACGTCAATCACTATCGCGTTGCTTGATAGATTTATTAAAAGATCATTTTTGTCTATGTTTTCTACCTGTGAGATGACATGACATTTGAAAATCATCTGTTTTGTGCAAATACCGAACATAATTATAATTTGTGTTAATTAATTTAATTCATACATTTATTCATTAATTAAATTAGTTAAAGTGTTAAAAGTGTGTCAAATATAAAAATGGCTACGCCTGCCGATTTAAGATCGCAGTTCGAAGCAAAATTAAAAGACTCTCCTAATCAAAACTTCCACCCTTTGGACTTGGATCGTGTGAAGGACGAAAAATACCTTCGTAGAGTTTTGAAACATGTTGATAACGATATAAAACAGGGTGTTGATATGTTGTGGGACATATTTACATGGCGGAAATCCGTTGGAGCGAATGAAATTAATGAATCTAACATAAGGATGGACTATATAAATGAAGGGGTCTTTTTCCCGCGAGGTCGTGATATCGACGGATGTTTATTATTAATAATAAAGTCAAAAATGCATGTAAAAGGACAGAAAGACTTTGAAGAGATAAAAAAAGCAATTATTTATTGGTTTGATAGAATTGAAAGAGAGGAAAATGGTAATAAAATTACTTTATTCTTTGATTTAGATGGCTGCGGTCTTAGTAACATGGATATGGAGTTAACTAATTATTTGATATCGTTATTTAAAAGTTATTATCCATATTTTTTAAATTATATAATAATTTATCAAATGCCTTGGGTGATGTCTGCGGCATTTAAAGTTATTAAATCTCTTTTGCCTGCTAAAGGTGTTGAAAAAATGAAATTCGTTAGCAAAGATACCTTAAAAGATTTTGTAACTCCCGAACAAGCGTTGACATGTTGGGGAGGTAAAGATAATTATACTTTCGAGTTCATTCCTGAGAATAAATCTAATGAGATTATGTCCAAAAAGGTTACATTTGCGGAACAAGGTGACGGACAGCATTCACCTGGAGAGATGTTACGTATAACACCTAATGATACTATCATATTTAAAGCTGAAAATGATGATATATCAGGGCAAATAACTATAACAAATATGGATGACAGTGTAATATCCTTCAAAATACGTACCACATCACCAGAGAAGTTCAGAGTGCGACCAAGCAGTGGTGTTCTACCAAGCGGTGTATCCCAAACTATACTTATAGTTGTACAGCCAGGATTTCATTTACGCACAGTGACTAAAGATCGTTTCCTTGTAATGTCAGTGCAAATACCAAAAGCGGATCTATCACAGAAAGAAATAACAGAAATCTGGCAGAATTCTACAGGCAGTAAGGTTGATGAGTACAGGCTTAAGTGTCATTTCCCGGAAAAAGCAATATCAAAGAATGGTAATATAATGGAGAAAGAAACGGAGAAATCAGATACGGTGACAAACGCATTGAATAATCTGCAAATGAATTACGAAGTTTTACAAAGACAAATATATAAGTTGAAGATATATCAATTCTTTACGTTGATGCTTACTGCTATTGCCGTTCTACTCGGTTATTTAGTCTACAAGAATACTAACGATGATAGATATTGTGATAGTATTTAACCATTAGAGTATGTGGTATTTAATACCACAATCAATATCAAATCTTTCTTAGATGGGTTGATATTTGTTACACTTGTAATGAACACTTTTTTGTACGTAAGATATTGTCAACTTGTGCATAAAGTTGAAATGTTACATAATGAAAATTAAGAAACATCAACAAATCAAATCTTAAAGTTAAAACAAGTCCAAGGACTTGGGTAACCCCACTACTCTGACTGCGAGTAATTAAAAAAAAACTTAAATAGTAGGCTATGTCTCAACCTGCACTTATCCCTATGGAGAATGGCACAGTAAGTACTCCTCCATACATCTCTATTAGGTGTCGTATATGAATCTACCCCTTTCCTTCACATATCTTTCATACTATGTTCTACATCTATGCCAAATTTCTTTCAGATCCATGCAGCCGTTCTGGAGATATATTTGCATGTTTAAATGGATATTTGTTGATTGCTTAATTGTAGTATATTGTTCTCTTTTTCTTACTAGGAGTAGAATGTATTGATAAAGAAAATAACTTTAACAATCTTACTAATATTATAAATGCGAATGTTTAGATGAATGTTTGTTTGATATCTCCAGAATGGCTAAATGGATCTTGATGAAATTTGGTATACATATAGAACATAGTCTGCAAGATCACATAGGCTACTAATTAAGTTGTTTTTTTTAATTTCACGCTAATTGAATTGTGGGTTAAGGCTATTATACATTAATAAGTACATAATAACTTCAAATGTTTTGTTTGTTATCTAAAAATGTTTCTATTGTATCATACAGGACTTTAGTTCCAATTTACCTCCTGTCCGATGAGTTGTTTAGAAATTTCAAAGTGTGATTTGATCTTAACTATATTTGATACTTGATAGTAACATCACAGTATTGTATAAAATGTACAAAAAAGTTTATATTTGTAATTAGATTAATGTACATATTGGTTTTGCATGAAATGGAACACAGAAAAATGAGTCGGTATTTAAGTATATTATGCATCTTGATAAATTAGTAATAAAATTAGGTTGTATGGACAAAAATTGAATATTTTATAAATTAAAAAGTAGATGTTGCTCGCGACTTCCTCAGTGTTAAATTAAAAATAGCATATTACTATTGCATACTACTACTATCAGCTACCTTCCGGTGAAAGTTCCGTTTAAATCGGTCCAGCCATTTTGGAGATTTGGAGAACAAACACAGTCTTGTAGACAAACAGGCAGATTTTTTTAATCTATGCTACAATTATAATGAGATTTCAATATTTCTTTTGTTACAATACTACTGAACCAATTTGAAAAATTCTTACACAGTTTGAAAGTTTTACTATCCCCGAGTGACATAGACTGTGTTTATTACAAGATTTTTTCAATTCGACGCAGACGAAGTCGCGGGCAACTGCTGTATAGATAGATTAGTAGTCTTATATACTTGAATCATGTAAGTAAATAGGCCTATTGCAAAAAAGTATATGGTGCAATTAAATTATTTATGATAACAAATCTTTTAAGTAAATACTAAATTAGTAAAAGTAATTTAATGACAAATTCTTTAATATAATGTGGGTTTACACTGTTGAAACACTATAAAATTATATTGTCGATATATTTGAACAGATAACTGATAAAAATATTGATTCATATAGATGGTTTAATGTAATTTTGACGTCTAATCGAGAGTTTATTTTAAACAAATAGGAAATTTACTAAAACAAAGGCTTTCGTGATGTCTTTTTCACCTCATTTTTTTGCTCCACATAGCTCTGGGTTGTAAATCTATGATTCTATTGTTTCGACATTGAAAACTGAAGCTAATATATTGGATCGTAATATTAGTCTAGGTGTGAAAACAATAAATACGTTTTTAGAGTAACTTAAAAGAATTGCGTCATTGTTCTTACAATGATATCACCTTTTTAGATTAGTCAAAAGGTTATTTTGCATAATTTTAGTGACGAACTGTTTTATAAAAACCCTTATTTTTGCAGTAAAAATAAACGGTGAACATTTAAACTAAATAATATGTCACCGATTAGTAAAATGTACACAAAAACTTTGGTAGAAATGCCGCGAACTTTATGTGCGCATTAATATCAGCTTTTATTTACGACCCGCAAGGGACAGGCAAAGGTCAAGGAATTTACAGCCACTTCGTGTCGACTTAAAAGACTTGAATCTATTGAAGGATTCTTTATTTATTAGTAAAATAATATATTCCTAAAATGTAAATTTGAATAATTAAGTGGGATTGAAAGTTAAAATATCGTTTAAATTTTCAAATTAAACCTCGTTGAAAAGTGGCGGCAAATTCATTAACTTTTTTACCTTTAAGAAGGCAAAGGTCAAATGTCTGCAGCCACTTCGCTGTATTGGGTTTGGATGTTAAAATTTTAATATTATGGTTACATTCCAGTTGTTTTCTAGACGTTTTTGTTGCATTTTGGTTATTTTGTGGGTGTTTGTGAAAATTTTATCCAACTTTTAAATCTCAGAGGTTTTATTTAAGTTTTTGTTTTTACTTAGGAAGTTTTTTCAATCTTGGTCGATATTATTTTTATTTAAATAAGTGTGGTTGTTTTTGTAGTCCGAATTAAAGAGATGTTTCACGTTTTCTTGTTTTTGCAAATTATTTTCGAGTATCGTTAATGAAAAATTGACAGATTTTTTTTAAATATTATTTATATGAAAAGGAACCTTTTTATATCAACATAGTATATGCACATTGTAAAATATGTGTCGCTCTCTTAGGGTTTTTTTAATAAAATAAATTATAAAAAATATCTGACTTTTATTTCTACTCTTTGAGTAACTTGCCATAATGTTCCTTGTGGCGCCATTTTTATGTCATTGTTTTTTTTTAATTACCCAAAATATCTTAATCGATTTACCTAATTAACCTTGAGCCATAGACAAATACATGGCGTGATATCGGCATTTCAAGTTATGACGTCAAACTCTTAGGGAGAGTGCAAAAACGAGCTAGGGTGTTTCGATAATGAGGTGGGAAATTGGCAGTTTCATTTTATTTTATGTAATAAAACAGACCACGGTAAAACAGCGTAAATGCCGTGCTAGTAATGTTATATTTAGGTCTACATTTGAAATACATATAACTAATCTCTGTCTATCCATTTGAATAGCTTGACTGATTATTTATCTATCAAATACTAGCGAACGCCCGTGACTCAGTCCGCGCGGAATTAAAAATGTTCTATATGTATAGCTAAATTTCATCGAGATTCATTAAGCCGTTCTGGAGATAATTTCAAACAAACATACATGCATACAAGATTTAAAATAAAAAGTACATAATATAGAGTTATAAGTTACAAAATGGCCGTCGAAATTAGCGCTAATTGTGTTCTTTTTCTCCGTTCAGTTCATACGGCCAATGACATTTACTGTTTTTAATCTCCTTTAGAAGTTGCCAGAAACTTATTACGCTTGGAATTAAAAAAAAAACTGTTATGAATATAACGTGACAACCGGGAATAGAGTAACTTTTCAACAGTGAAAGAATTTTTCAAATCAGTTCAATAGTTTCGAAGTCTATTCAATGCACAAACATCTTTCCTCTTTGTAATATTAGTATAGATAATTTTCATCATCATCAGCTCACTATACGTCCCCACCGAGGGGCTCGGAGCCTACCCTAAGTTAAGGGTGATTAAGCCATAGTCAACCACGCTGGCCAAGTGCGTGGCCCGGTGCGGACTTCACACATATCTTTGAATTTCTCAGATATGTGCAGGTTGCATCACGATGTTTTCCTTCACCGTATATAGATAATTTTAATCAGTATTAATCAATAATTAAGAAATGACAACTGATAAATCGAAGGTTTTACAAATAGTGTAGCAAGATTAACTACTGTAAATACCTTTATCTTTGTTTTATAAGTAATCCTACTTCTTACTAATATAAATGTTTAGATGGATGTTTGTTAGAAGCTATCTCCAGAACGACTGCATGGATCTTGCTGAAATTTGGCATAGATGTATAACATAGTCTGGAAGAACACAAAGACTACTAAGTTTCTGTTATCCCACACGGACGGAGTAGCGGGCGACAGCTAGTTTAACTATAAATGCGAAAGTTTACATGAATGCATGTTTGTTACTACGTATCTCCAGAACGGCTAAATAAATCAAACTGAAAGCATAGATGTAGAAGATCACAAAGGTTTTTTTTTAATTCCGTGCAGACGAAGCGAGCGACAGCTAGTGATTGATAAAGTATTTTAGTAACTAAATATTAGAGAAATTTGCACGTGAAGATAGTGTCATCTCTTTTATTCTATATATAAAATTTGAGATAGCAATGTTATTACAAAATATTTGGAAAGGGAAAATAAAACAAAATTATAGCAATTTTTTTCTTAACAACGGCACCATAAATATGATATGTCATTTTTTCATGCTCTGGAAGTGACCATAAACACGAAATGTCATATTCATAGTCGACTTCAAAAATTGTTATCAATTCGTGTGTATTTTTTATTTTATTTACTAACAAACACAACTGAAGACACCATATTGCCAACTTTCCCTCCAAAACTGAACTGCGGCGTCGGTATTACGCATTTTAACTTCATTTTCTCAGAGAAATGTCTTAAAAGTTCATCTTCTGTCCAATTACACGATGTTATCACGAATAAACCTTAAACATGAAACAATTATATAGGTTAACTAAGGAAACAACATTAAAAGTAACAATGTAAAAATTTACAAAAACTCCGTCCAGGCGGAATTAAAAAAACATAATAAGTAGCCTTTGTGTTCTTCCAGAACAGCTGATCGGATCTCAATGAAATTTGGAATACACATAGAATATAACCTGGAAGAAGACATAAGCTACTTATTAAGTTTATTTTTTACTACGCATAGACAGCTAGATATCTAGAAAACAACTTTAAAGTCTTCATACATGTCCATGGTCACTTAGCAAAGTGAAATGGCTAATAAAAATGTAACTCACCATTTTCCGCAAGCATTTCTGCAACTTGATCTATATATTTGTGTCGTTTTAGCTTTGCATCATCAGGACTAAGGCTTATAGCATCATAAGTGCCTTTATCATGTATCAAACCAAACTTTCCAAGTGTCTTTACATCATCATTGATTATATCAAATACCTAAAAATATAAACATAAAATTATTAACATTATAAATGCGAATGTTTAGATGTATGTTTATAAGAAGATATCTCGAGAAAGGATGCATGAATCTTGCTAAAATATTACTAATATTATAGATGTTTGTTTGAAGGTACATCTAGAATGGCTGAATGGATCTCGATGAAATTTGGCATACATATAGAACATAGTCTGGAAGAACACAGGCTACTAATTAAATTTTGTTTTCATGTCCATGCAGTTGTTTAAAAATGTTATCAAATACCTGAAACCTTATGAAAGGGAATTGATCCTGAGCCACCTTCTCAGCAAGAGTGATGGCTTCAGTGCAGTAATCAACACCGAGGAGATTACTGAAGCCCTCTCTTGCTAATTCCGTTAATGTGTAACCATTACCGGACCCTGGAAAAAAAATTATATGATAATTGGTAATTGTCCAACCAAAAAAGGATTTTATATTAAAACTAGCTGCTACTTTGCCCATGTGGAATTAAAAAAGAATGTAATCAGTAGCCTATATGTTCGTCCAGACTATATTCAACATCTATGTCAAACTATATCAATATCCATTGATATCTGGAGATACCTTCAAACAAACATACATCCATATATTTATGTTTATATTAGTAAGATTTAATGTTATATATAAGCAAGCGGCCAACTGATTTTGATTAAAAAGTGAATGAATAAATGTTGCCTACCCTAATTGTACAGACAATGGGTCATATTTATCCTCTCCTAGCTATTTTCCCTTACCTTACCAACCTTTTATTATATGTAGTAGGAGAATAATACTAGAATGTCGTCTACGGGACAATTTCACGAGGAATTAGAGAATTCGAATGATGTTTTGTAATTTCGCTAAGATCCTGTGAGGTTAGTACAATATACTTTTTGTAAGTTTTAATTAATATGTGGTGTTTAGCATTAAATATTTACCTAAATCTATAACAGATGAATCTAGTGGTATTCCGCACTGGCATATCCATTTGATAACACGATACGCACTGTCTTCTCCGAACCAAACATCCCCAGGATCGCCATGATCTTCGAAATTTATGATTTCCTTAGTGTAAGCCTTCTGCCAGTAATCTTGTGTACCCAGTTCTGATGGTTCCAATTCTGTATCATCCATGTTAACTCGTAAATACTGATTTCTGATTTATAGTAACGAAATTTATTTATCAACAGTTACGAATTACAATAAGAATTTGACAAATGTCAACTGAGCTTATATGGCAATAAAAATCAAATGGAATAAATACTAGTGACGTGTAATGTTCAAATAACCGGAATCTTTTAATCAATATTTAATTCTTCATTGTTATATTTTTGATATTTATTTTTAAGACGACAAAAAGCACTACTTAAAAACTTTCGAACTCGTTTTCCTTAATTCTTGTTGTCTAATTCCTTAAATTGTAAGAAATTATTTTAAAAATATTGAAAATTTAGTTAAAATGGCAACATTATCATCAAATCGACGTTATGACAGATGTCAAATTGGTTTCGAGTTTCGATAAATTAAGTTTTTTTATCATATCAGACAAGTGTTGAAGAGTGTCCGGTCGGTTAGCGCGATTAAACTGGCGCCCAGTTAAATTTTTTACCGCGACGTAGTCGTTTCCAATTAACCATTTATTCCCAATAAAATGACTTTAGTGATGACACGGCCTAAAATAGATATTATGAATTAACTCACCCGTTCGTTATATATCTTATACATAAGATTGAATAAATTAATTTATGCTGTCTGTAGTCTGATCGATAATTGTGTCATAGAATTTAAGAAATAAACATAAAGTATAAGACCTTAGTTACGTAGATGCGTTGAAATTTTAATGGTGCTCGAGGCTGTGATAGTGGAAATTGATGATATTACGAAAATACGTAAACAATTACGAAATAAACTTGTAGTGGGTGTGAAAACAAATATTTGAAGTACATTTAGTGATGCTACTGCTTCTTTAAAGGTGAGTATTTTTTTTAAATCAAACATTGTTAACAGCCAGATATTTTTAAAAGTTATATAATTTCAAATTGTCTGAAACATTTTTTGTTTTTCAAAAAAACTTTTTTTTTATATAAAACACTAGCTCTTGCCCGCGACTAGCCTATATGTTCTAAGCTATGTTCTACATCTATGCTAAATTTCTGCAAGATTCATACAACCATTTTGCAGATACCTTCTAACATCCATCCATCCAAAATTTGCATTTATAATAATAGTAAGATGGATTAATTCTCAAGTTTTTTTATATTTATGATATAAACACACCATTTTTAATAATAGAGTTATGAAATTGCCCTGATAAGTTTTGTTATCATACTAATATTGTAAATGCAAATTTGTAGATGGATGGTTTGTTTAAAGATACCTCCAGAAAAACACATAGGCTACTTATTAAGTTTTATTTAATTACTTGGGGAGGGTGTTGCAGGTAACAATTAGTAGTTTCATTTGCTTTTACATTGTTTAAAATCTTTAGTGATGAGTACTCTTCATATAATTGAACCTGGATAAGATTAAGAGCAACTGCAGTACTTTTCTTGCTTATGAAAGTTATTTGTTGGGATTTGAAGCCTTTAGTTTATAGATGTTTCTAGTTTATCCATGTTCTGCATTGGTATTGAACAAGTAGCTGCCGTCAGCAATTTCAACTGCGCGAAATTAAAAACTTAGTGGTCGATGTGTTCTTCCAGACTATGTTCTACATCTATGGCAATTTTCATCTAGATTAGTTGAGTTGGTTTAGAGATATCTTCTTACAAACATATGTCTTTCTAAATGTTTTTAATTTGACTTGACTTGACTTAAAGTCCTATGTCCCTGTAGTGGGGCAGAGGGTGTTCTGGTTTTTAACTTACTTCTTACTAATATTATAAGTGCAAATATTGTAAGGGATAGATGAAATGCGTATGCTAAGATGGATGTGTGGTGTGACAAGGAAGGATAAAGTTAAAAATGTGTATATTAGAGGAAGTTTGAAAGTAGCGCCAGTGATCGAGAAATTGAGGAGTAAAAGATTAGCGTGGTTTGGACATGTTATGAGGAGGGATGATGATGATATAAGCAAAAAAGTAATGAGATTGAATGTGGATGGCTACAAGGGTAGAGGAAGACCAAAAAAAGTATGGAATGACTGTGTGAAAGAGGATATGCGTAAGAAGGGGGTAGACTCGGATATGACGGCTGATAGAGATGTATGGAGGAGTAGTACATGCTGTGCCGACCCTCGATAGGGATAAGGGCAGGTTGATGATGATGATTGTAAGGGATAGATGAATAGATGATGGATGTCGATGAAATTTGACACAGATTTAGAACATACTCTCAAAGAACACAGGCTACTAATTATGTTTTTTTTAATTCTGCATGGATGGAGTTGCGGCAATAACTAATATATCTTATCTTATATCTTTAAATGAATTATTAATATATATATATAATTGGAATCTCGGAATCGGCTCCAACGATTTTCATAAAATTTAGTATATAGGGGGTTTCGGGGGCGATACATCGATCTAGCTAGGAATCATTTTTAGAAAATGTCATTTTATTCGTGTTTTATCGATAATCAACTTAAACATAAACTTAACTTTTTCTATCGAAAAATATCATTCATATTTCATCATTTTATTAGTAATTCCTACTTAAATATAATTTACAAAAAACACAATTTAATATTAATATGATAAAATTATTTGTATGTCACATGAAAAATATTCAATTACTATATAAAAATTCTCATTATTATGGTAGAAATATAACAATTGTTAATTGTTTGTATCTTATAAAATTTACAAAGATTTGTAGTAAAGGTGCAAAATCTTTTAAGTGGCAGAGTTTGCAATAACAATGGCTGGATCATCGGTGGCTCAGGTCAAGCTATAGACTTGCAATCTACAGGTCCTGGGTTCGAATCCCTCCATGTACCAATGTGTTTTTCCATTTCCGATTTACATATGTACATTTATCCTATGTTCTTACGGTGAAGGAAAACATCGTGATGCTGCACATATTTGAGAAAGTCAAAGATATGTGTGAAGTCAACCCGCACTTGGCCAGCGTGGTTGACTATGGCCTAATAACCTTTAACTTAGGGTAGGCTCCAACCCCTCGGTGGGGACGTATAGTGAGCTAATGATGATGGCTGGATCAAGTAGTGAAGTACTACAAACACACAGAAGATATGCCTCAAAAGCGATTATGAGGAAAGTGTGATGAGTGTACTCTAGGCTTTTAGTTTATGTTTCCATCATCTTTATATATATAATTCTTCTGTGAGTGTGTATGTCACTGAACTTCTCTCAAACGACTGGACCGATTTTGATGAAATTTTTTGTATGTGTTCAAGGGGATCTGGGAATGGTTTAGATTCACAATTTTCATCAAATATTAACTTCATATTAATTTATTCAAATTAAAGACGCGCAAACAGGACAACGTCTGTCGGGTCCGCTAGTTTTTTTTATAAGGAAATGATGGAAAGGCGAAGTGGATTTAAAGAGAATTGTATGTGATGGAGGTAATTCTGTGCACTCCTGCGTTATTTAAAAGTAGGCAATTCATCTACAATTTCGGATGTCTATGGCCAGATGTATCAATATTTCATTGGATCCAGAATTCTCTTTTGCTTTAGAACTAATAAAAAAGTTGTAGATGTCTATGCTTACTTCACTATATTGGAAAAAAATGAGAGATTTTTGTACGTAACACGAAAGAGGGACAGAATTTAACAATGTAAAATTACAAGGAGTTTGTACTCTTACGGCCTTTTTGTTTATCTCTTTTTTCTTAACGTGTAAGAGAAGGATGGAATATTTCTTCATTGTTCAAGTTAAATCCCATGGTTACAATGATATCTGTATGAATAAAAATAGTCTGTTGATCTTCTTATCTATATACAAAAAAATCAATTGCTGTTCGTTAGTCTCGCTAACACTCTAGAACGGCTAAACAGATTTATCTTATCTTGGTCTTGGTGGAGTTCTAGGAAAGGTTTAGACGGTGAGAAAAATCGAATAATTGCCGGGAACTCATTTTTTTTTTAAATTTCTACGGACGGATCCGCGGTCGACAACTAGTTTGGTAATAAAAATTTATTGCATCTGCAAATTAACTGGGTCGTGATGTTTCACGTATTTTGTTGTTCTCGTTATAATATTGCTTACATTGTCTTTATTTTATAACTAGCTATCGCACGTGGATAGGTCCGCGCGGAATTGAAAAAAACATAATTAATAATCTATTTATACTTTTAGACATTACTAGCTGTCGCCCGCGACTCCGTCCGCGCGGGATTATGAAATAGATGTTGACCGATTCTCAGAGCTACAAAATATATGCTCACAAAATTTCATGAGAATCGGTCGAGACGTTTCGGAGGAGTATAGAAACGAAAATTGTGACACGACAATTTTATATATAAGACTAGCGGACCCGACAGACGTTGTCCTGTCTACACGTCTTTAATTCGAATATTATTTAAAATTTAACAATGCGATGGTAGCGCCGTCTGTCGGATCCAATGTAAAACATTCCAAAGTCAACAACTACTAATAAATTAAAAATTAATTAAAAAAAACATTGTCCAGCGGACAAAATTGTGAATCTAAACCATTCCCAGATCCACTTGAACACACAAAAAATTTCATCAAAATCGCCCCAGTCGTTTCAGAGAAGTTCAGTGACATACACACTCACAGAGGAATTATATATATAAAGATTAGAATTCTTTGGCGCGAATGGCGCGTTTTCGTTACAAATTCAAGTGTCAGATGTAGTGATGGGACATAAACGTCGACTAATAAGGCTAGTGTTGCGTCACACCGGCACATCGAATTTTCTTCCTAACAATACATACTTAAAAACAATATATTTAATCAGATGTATTACAAAACAATTAAATAATTATGTCATACAAAAGAACAATGTATGTTTGTTGAATGTGTACGGAAACGTTTTCAAACTTAAATATTAAAAGAATTGTTTTCGTTGATGTCAGTGAACAATTGTAGAATGCTATAACTTTGAATCTGTTTATATATCAATGAGAATAAACTGATGCTTTTAAATCATTCATCATCATTCAACATCAGCTCACTATACGTCCCCACCTACAATAAGTTAAAGTGTAGTGTAACAGTGGTAGAGCCCGCTTTAACATCTTCGCACGAATTGTCCCGGCTCGTCCGGTGAAATACCACGACCACACAGAAGACAGGCGTGAAGTGGAAGCAATTACGCATTTCGTCTGATGAGTGTGCGTCCCGGAGGCCTAATTTAGTCCTCTTTCCCTTCCCACCCTTTTTCTTATGAGGAAGGGTTGGGAAGTGGAAGTGGACTTTCCGGATGAGAGAATGCATGGAAAGGGAAAATATTATCTTTCTGTGCATCCTCTCCTCCGTCGATTAAAGGTAGGCAACGCATACGCAATTGCGTATGTCTATGGGCAAAGGTCACTTCGCTATTTCATCAATTTCAGGTGGCCGCTCGCTCGTTTGCCACCTTGTGATATAAAAAAAAAGTTAAGGGTGATTAGGCCATAGTCAACCACGCTGGCCAAGTGCGGGTTGACTTCACACATATCTTTGACACGCAGATATGTGCAGCATCACAATGTTTCAATATAATTTAATTCAATTAATTTATCCTTGATAAAAACAAAGATGGATACACTAACGCATTTTTTTTATATACAATGGATGTTCCGTGTGAACGAGCGTAGATTTTCTTTTATTTGACCTTGTGAAATCTATAGCAAGGTTGGTACTGATTAACTAAACAAAGTTCATTCGAAAGAACAATAAAATTGTCAAACACTAAAAGATATATCATATTGTTGTCGCACGCGACTCCGTCCGCTTGAAAAAAACTTAATAAGTAGCCTTTGTTCCTTCCAGACTTGGCCAGCATTCATTATGACCTAGTCATCTCTAAGTTAACGTAGGCTCTGAGCCCCTCAATGGAGACGTATAGTGAGCTGCAGATGATGATCAATTCCAATTGAAATTTTTAACCTAAAAGATTATAGAATTCAAAAATACTTCTCGTTAAATGATAGCTGTCGCCTGCGATTTAGTTATCTCGGTATTAAAAATCTTAATTAATAGCAAATGTGTTCTTCCAGATGTTCTACATCTGTGTCAAATTTCATCGAGATCCGTTGAGTGGTTTTGGAGATACCTTCTAAGAAATATTCATCTAAACTTCGTCCATACGGAAAACAACTTAGTTATGTCCAACCAGATATTGTTCTACATTTTACTTCTTACTAATATTATAAATGCGAATGTTTAGATGGATGTATGCAAGAATCTGCTTAGCGGATCAATGGATCTCAACAAAATTTGTCATAGATGTAGAACATAGTCTGGAAGAACACATAGACTGCTATTTTTTTTCATACCGTCGTAGTCGCGAGCGTAGTAAGTTATTAACTGAATTTCACAATTGTTATGTAACATATACGTACAGTCAGCTTAATAAATACCGTAGCAGACAGATATGCAAATATATAGTCCAGCAGTGTGAATGTATCTATTAATTTGAAGACTTTTGTTGTACCTATATAATTGATTACTTTTGGTGTACCTATATATTTGCATATTTTGTTTGCTACGGTATTTATGAGGCTGACTGTACGTATATTTATCTATACAACTGACATTGACTGTAAATTACTATTAAACGTTTAAATGAGCACAAATTGATCAATTTTGTTATTTTTAATGCGCATATATGCGCTCATTTCAATGTTGAATAGTATAAATTGTTTACGTTGTTTCTATGAAATATTAATTATCTTATTAAAATTATAAATGCGAATGTTTAGATGGATTGTTTGTAGTTTTAGACATTACTAGCTGTCGCCCGCGACTCCTTCCGCGTGCGACAGCTAGTAATGTCTAATGAAAAAACTTAATTAGTGTAGCCTATGTGTTCTTTCAGACTATGTTCTATACGTATGCCAAATTTAATCGAGATCTGTTCAGCCGTTCTAGAGATATCTTCGAACACCCATCGATCCATCTATATCACATCCATCTAAACATTCGCATTTATAATATTAGTAAATTAAATAAAAAGCTCTTCATGGCGTAAAAAAAAAAGAATGAATAGTATCCTATGTCCGTCTCCTGGCTCTTAGCTACCTCCTCACCAATTTTCAGGCATATCGGTAAAGCCGTTCTTGAGTTATAAATAGTGTAACTAACACAATCGGAAATCGATACACATTGGTACATGTCGTGATTCGAACCCAGGACCTGCAGATTGCAAGTCGAGTGCTTGACCACTGAGCCACCGACGCTCTAATTAAATTGAGTTATACGTTTGTTTTAACAATGTAGATATGGAAACGATTGGTGTTGAAATTCAATATCAGAACTTGTTTAATAATTTCCGCTACATCGTTGTTATTAGACCTGTCCTCTATATTGCGGAATAACGTTGAACTAATTGACGCCCGCTTTCATACTAATATTATAAATGCGAATGTTTAGATGTATGTTAGAAGATATCTTCAGAACTGCTGAATGGATCTTGATGAAATTTATCATAGACTAGCGGACCCGACAGACCATGTCCTGTCTACACGTCTTTAATTTGAATTAATTAATATGAATTTAATATTTGATGAAAATTGAGAATGTAAACCATTCCCAGATCCGATTGAACACACACAAAAAATTTCATCAAATCGCTCCAGTCGTTTGAGAGAAGTTCAGTGACATACACACTCACAGAAGTATTATATATATAAAGATATAGAACATAGCCTGGAAGAACACAGATTACTTTTAATTCCGTGCGGGCGACATCGCAGGCGATGGCTATTGATTAAATAAAATATCCTATGTGTTCTTCCAGACTATGTTATACATCTATGACAAATTTCAACAAGATCCATGCAGCCGTTCTGGAGATACCTTTTAACATACATCTAAACATTCGCATTTATAATATTAGTAAGATAAGTTTAACGTTAACGTTGCCTTGTGTCTGAAGATTCTATGACTGTTTCCTGTAAGATTCGATACTTAGTGGAAAGTGAATTTAATTCTATTTATTTTAAGCGCGTAAGATATGTTCGTGAAGACATTTTAAAAGAAAAAGTTCGCCAAATAAAAACCGGTAGAATGCATTGACCTATTACCGATTTTCACTTACCGATAACCGGTTTTTAAAACCTTTAAACACTGATGTACAGTTATCAACAAATGAGTTAAATATTTTAAGAATTTTGTACTTTGATAAACGCTAGACCGCGACTCTGTTCGCGCGGAATTAAATTTTAATTAGTAGCCTATGTGTTCTAGACTTTAGACAGAGCGTCGGTGCCTAGGAAAAATGAACCCTTACAGGATCAATTTTTTGTCCGTTAATCTGTCTGTCAATACCCTTTTTCTCAGGAACGCATGAAGGTATCAAGCTGGGAAATACCCAGGTTAACTGTCCCTTGGTGTTGTGAAAATCGAACTTCTTAGACAAACCAAACAAGGGATACACTTTTTATATAATGAACACTCGCAAGGAAATCAAAATCTACAGGGTAAAACCTTTCCCTTCCCACCCTTTTTCTGATAAGTAAAGGATGGGAAGTGGAAGTGGACTTTCCGGATGAGAGGATGCATGGAAGGATAAATATTTTCTTTCTGCGCAACCTCCGTCGTTTAAAGGTAGGCAACGCGTATGCAATTGCGTATGTTTATGGGCAACGGTCACTTCGCTATTTTAGCGATTTTATTTGGCCGCTCGCTCGTTTGCCACCTTCTGTTATAAAAAAAGCCTGGTTATGTAACGATAACAGTATGATTATAATTATTTAATTTTCTAGCTCAAAAATATATTTTTTGTTACAGATATCAACACGTCTGCACGCAAGGAAGAACACGTTGATTATGACGTTTTCGTATGTAATAATGATACAACGCCATCTAGCGGACGAGCATTAACATAGCATTTAGCGAGCGTTACCATGCTTCTTGTTTGAAATGTTTAACGATGCCAAGGCTAAAGTATGCCTCGGTTCTACGTGTGGTTGTCATATTGGGCCTTTTATGTTTATGGATTCAGATTATGTTGTCCGCATCAAATGGTGTCATCGATAGAGATGGTGGTAAGTATGACAGCGCGCACCTAACGTCTTAAAAAAAATAGTCTATGTGTTCTTCCAGACTATGTTCTATATGTATGACAAATTTAATTGAGATCCGTTAGGTTGTTTTTTAGATACCTTCAAAAAAACATCCATCCATCCATATGTAAGATAGTGTGGAAGAACACATAGGATTCTAATTTCTTTTTAGTTCGACGTGGACAGAGTCGCCGGCAAACTCTAGCCTGACTATATTTTACTAATATTATAAATGCGAATGTTTAGATGGATGCTTGTTTGAGTTTATCTCCAAAACGGCTGAACGTATTCTAATGAAATTTGTCATAGATGTAAAACATAGTCTGGGACAACACATTGGACTTTTTTCCGTATGGACGGAGTCGCGGGCGATAGCTACTGTAAGATAATTTTATTTATAAATATTTTTATTATCAGTATGCTATTGTCTGCAGGAAATTGATAATATATAAACCACTTTTTCATTTCATTACTCAAACAAGATGGCTCTCGCCCGCGACTCCGTCCGCGCGGAATAAAAAAAAAATTAGCCTATGTGTTCTTCCAGACTATATATTTCCATTCCCACCCTTTTTCTTATAAAGAAAGGATGGGAAGTGGTAGTGGACTTTCCGGATGAGAGGATGCATGGAAAGGGAAAATATTATCTTTCTGTGCATCTCCTCCGTCGATTAAAAGTAGGCAACGCATGTGCAATTGCGTATGACTTTGGGCAACGGTCACTTCGCTATTTCAGCGATTTCAGGTGGCCGCTCGCTCGTTTGCCACACTATGATATAAAAAAAGGTGTCTTGATAAAGCCGGACACAAGCTTTTTGATTGCATATTCGGCCAACATAAACGACGACTGGGTTGTCCGGATTTTGTTAAGCTTTTAACAATTCGTATATAACAGTGGCCGGTGGAATAAAGAGTGGCCGGCCTTTCTACCCAAATGTCCGGCCAATTGGCTGGTCTGTTTGCCGACTTGGGAACCCTATATGCTGGAGATACCTTCTAACAAACATCCATCTAAACTTTCACATCTTATATATATAAAAGAAAATCGTGTTAGTTACTCTATTTATAACTCAAGGACGGCTTTACCGATATGCCTGAAAATTGGTGAGGAAGTAGCTTAGAGCCAGGAGACGGACATAGGATACTATTTATTCATTTTTTTTCGAATTTATGCCTTGAAGAGTTGCTTATTATTTAACTTACTAATATTATAAATGCGAATGTTTAGATGGATGTGATGTGGATGGATGTATCGGTGTTTGAAGATATCTCTAGAACGGCTGACCGGATCTCGATTAAATTTGGCATACGTATAGAACATAGTCTGAAAGAACACATAGGCTACACTAATTAAGTTTTTTTATATATTCACGCGGACGGAGTCGTGGGCGACAGCTAGTTTATAATATTAGTAAGATGAAACTCCTAATATTCTTAGCTGTGTTTTTTGTTACTAAAATGCATTTTACAATAAAATATGTTATATTTTATTACGATGTTTTGAGACACAAAAATATCTGGTTTCGCATAAATAACGGTCTAAATTATGCAGGAATACCGCTATGAATATAAGCGTGGGGTTACACTGTTGATATACATACAATAATAATCTTACTAATATTATAAATGCGAATGTTTAGATGTTTGTTAGAAGGTATCTACAGAATGTGTGAAGTCCTGCACTGGACCAGCATTCACTATCACCTAGTCTAACTTAGGGTAGACTCCGAGACCTGGGGATGTATAGTGAGCTGTAAATGTTTTTGTCAGCCTTTGTTTCGTATTTAAAAGTATCCTATGTCCTTCCTTAGGCTGTAAATTATCTGAGTACCAAATTTCATTTAAAACGGTTCAGTAGTTTTAGCGTGAAAGCGAGACAAACTTACGTCTACGAAAGAGTTTGTCTGTTTAAACGCGCTAATCTCAGGAACTACTGGTCCGATTTGAAAAATTATTTTTTTGTTGTATAGTCCATTTATAGAGGAAGGCTTTAGGCTATATAACATTACGCTGCGACTAATAGTTTTTTTTTTTTAATTCCGCACGATCGTAGTCGCGGGCGACATCTAATATTAGTATAAGCAAGGATTAAAATTGTTTTTAATTCCTCGCGTCGACTTCGTACGTCGTGTAGAAATTATCTTATCTATAAGAAGATGGGTTTTTACAATAGGATTTATTTTTTTTATCTATCTCTATGTCTAATCGTATCAATGTTGTTAAGATTTAGTTGATAATTTTGATAGACAGTTATGGGCCTTTGTTTCATATGTATATCTTACTCGTATCTATGTATCGTGACATATTGAAATATAGAGTCTTTTTAAGATAGATAGACAACTGACGCTTATGAAGTATCGAATTAATTTTGTATGACGATTAATGTTGTACTTAATGGACGGTTGTCATAGTGTCGGATTAACGCGTCTGTTGATGTTCATCATCGAGGGGCTCGGAGCCTACCCTAAGTTAAGGGTGATTAGGCCATAGTCATCCACGCTGGCCAAATGCGGGTTGACTTTACACATATCTTTTGAATTTCTTCTCAGATATGTGCAGGTTGCATCACGATGTTTTCCTTCATTGTAAGAACGTCGGATAAATGTACATATGTAAATCGGAAATGGAAAAACACATTGGTACATGGCGGGATTCGAACCCAGGACCGGCAGATTGCAAGTCAAGTGCTTGACCACTGAGCCACCGACACTCCTGTTGGTGTTACGTGAGAGTTAATACTACGAGTATCTATATTAATATTTCGAATCCATTCCACCTATCGTTGAAAGCGTCCGGATTTATCCGGACATGGCTTTTTGATTGCGTGTCCGGCCAATATTAACGGTCTCTTGGTTATCCGGCTTTTGTTAACCCTTTTACTGGTGGTGGCAATATGTGCCACCAACATTTTTATAATTTTTTCCACTTTGTAACACAAATACTTTAAAACATGTTTTAAATCATTTCACCAACTGCAAGAGGAAAATCCATGAACAGAATTTAACAGAGCTCATACTGGTGTTGGCAAGGATATTGCCACCATGTTTTTTTTCCAATAAATATGATTTTTTTTCCTTAATAAAAGTGATTAAAGTACCTACAATAAACCAAAAAAAACGATTTATTTTTCCGAGACACAAAAATGCTTCTACCAGTTAAAGGCTTAAGCTTTAAACATTATGCAAACGATGAGAAAATCAAATACGCACAAAATATCACGTCGTATAGCCAGTCCATTTAATGCATGCATACGAAGTTACGAATAACAATATTTTGTTTACTCATTCCGTATTTCATAGTTATTTTCTTGAAATCATTGTGATAAACAGGAAATTTCTCATCGTATAACTCGATGCTTTTGCCATCTCTTTTATTCTCTTTGATAGAAAAGAGACAACGATATACAAGTGTCATTTAAATTATTCTTGAGCTCAAGTATCAATAGTTTAAATAATAAATACGTAATAAACGAATTAAGATAAAAGTACACAGTAAGCTATGCTATACATTTTTCTCGTAGGCAATTAAAAAACAAAATATAAAAAGTAACCTATGTGTCCTTCTATACTATGTTCTATATGTATGCCAAATTTCATAGAGATTCGATCAGCTGTTCTGGAGTAATTCAAACAAACATCCATCTAAACATTCGCATTTATAATATTAGTAAGATTTCATGGTGTTATAGCATATAGCATTGAATATTATAGCTTTTATTGGATTACTGTCTTTTTGATGAGTCGTGAACATACATATTATATATGCATATTTTATACTAGCTGTCGACCGCGTCCTCGTCTGCGTGGAATTAAAAAAATCATAATTAGTAGTCTTTGTTGTTCCAGACTATGTTCTACATCAATGACAAATTTCAACAAGATCTATGCAATTATTCAAACTTTCGTGATACATTATATTAAACTGATATAAAAACGGCTAAACACTTTTTTTTTATATCACAAGGTGGCAAACGAGCGAGCGGCCACCTGAAATCGCTGAAATAGCGAAGTGACCGTTGCCCATAGACTTACGCAATTGCATAAGCGTTGCCTACCTTTAGTCGACGGAGGAGAGGATGCACAGAAAGAAAATATTTTCTTTTTCCATGCATCCTCTCATCCGGAAAGACCTCTTTCACTTCCCATCCTTTCCTTATAAGAAATATGACGGGAAGGGAAAGAGGACTAATTTTGGCCTCCGGGACGCACACTCATCAGACGAAACGCGGAATTGCTTCCACTTCACGCCTGTCTTCTGTGTGGTCGTGGTATTTCACCGGGCGAGCCGTGCCAATGCGTGCGAAGATGTAAAAGCGGGCTCTACCACTGTTAAACACTGATGTACAGTCAGCGTCATATAGATCGTAACAGACAAGATATGCAAATATATAGGTACACCAAAAGTAATCAATTATATCGGTACAACAAAAGTCCTCAAATTAATAGATATATTCACCTTGCTCAAATACATCGGTACATACACAGCGTCAAATATATGGGTACATGCAAGGAGCCCATAAATATCGTAGCAGGCACAGCGTCATAAATAACGAAGCAGTCAAGGTGTGCAAAAATATCGTAACATTTGACAAAATCGAACTCTATCTCTATACACTTGTGATACAATTTGGAATAAACTACTTCTGTTTCATTTGTCACTTTGCATGAAACCACTGAAGTAAGGGATACATTTTTTCGGATGAAAATCTTAACTTTAACTTTCGATTCGATTAAGTTACATATAGCCTATAACACGCCTGTTACATATAGGGGTAGGCAGAGACTATGAACTTTTATTTGGCTTAGCCAAACGAATCTTCACAATAAGTGCCCAAAATAGTTTCTTCTTCTTCTTCTTCTTCTTCTTCTTCTTCTTCTTCTTCTTCTTCTTCTTCTTCTTCTTCTTCTTCTTCTTCTTCTTCTTCTTCTTCTTCTTCTTCTTCTTCTTCTTCTTCTTCTTCTTCTTCTTTCGTTGCTCTATATTTGCCTTGATCACGTACCGACACGACTTGCCGGCTCGACGGTCTCAAATCGACTGACCGAGTGATTGCCATTACTCCCTTTATATACTCTATACAACCGCCGCTATTCGTTCGACACTACTTACACTTTATTGCAGGTGACTGTAGCTATATTCTTGAAGATTCACCGAGATTAACATCGCCGAATGCTATTCTCGATCTACATACTATTTATCAACCATAGGTCGAAGACAGTCTTAAAAATGCATTTCATTATTGTTTTTGGTCGAAATCATGACAATATTTGTCTATGTCGTGTATATACTACCCTCGTAGTAACGTAATGTTTATTTTATCATTGTAATACGTCGAAATTGCTTCTTCAATAGACCCGAATTAATTTGTCGCTTGCACATGTATTTCGATGTGTCATCGTAGTGCAGTTAGACGGACTTGTATCACAAGTATATAGAGATAGAGTTCAATTTTGTCAAATGTTACGATATTTTTGCACACCTTGACTGCTTCGTTACTTATGACGCTGTGGCTGCTACGATATTTATGGGCATCTTGCATGTACTCATATATTTGACGCTGTGTATGTACCGATGTATTTGAGCAGGGTGAATGTATTTATTAATTTGAGGACTTTTGTTGTACCGATATAATTGATTACTTTCGGTGTACCTATATATTTGCATATCTTGTCTGTTACGATCTATATGACGCTGACTGTACATTCGTCCGGTGGCCACCGACTAGTTTCGTGCCCATTTCATCAGGATGAGTGCTACTGGTATTATTTCGCGGACGCGTCCCGTCGCTTGTTTAGTGCAGCTGTTCTGGAGATACCTTCTAACATACACCTAAACATTCGCATTTATAATATTATTAAGTTGTATTGTTTCAGATGAGCTGATGAACTTGAATGATACATCAGAACAAGTGCTAGCACTGGTGCCACCTGAGCTTCATAAATACCTCACTGTACATAACAAGAATATTACAGGTAAGTTATAAACGGAATAACTTAACTCTACTTAAAACACGACTGATTTGAAATCGCGCCATATATTGGTTGCCTTTTAAATTTTCTAATTAAACTTATAGAGATGGTTCAGACTTGTTATGCATGTCCTGGGTTCGAATCCCGCTATACCAATCCGCGGTTACTGTGAAGGAAAACATCGTGATGCTGCACATATCTGACAAACTCAAACATATGTGTCAAGTCTTGCACTGGACCAGCATTCACTATCACATACTCTCACTTAGGGTACACTCTGAGACGCCGTGGGCTCGCCATGATGCGTTTGAGGAACAGAGGGGTTTAGTGGGTATGCTATCCGGAAGAGAATCCCACATAAGTAACGCGAGGGGGAAGGCCTCGGGGGTGCGGAGTATGCATAAAGCATTCCCCTCTGAAAAAAAAAGGGTAGACTCTGAGACCCTCAGTAGGGATGTATAGTGAGCTGATGTTGATAATTTTAAACTAAAATTTTATGTTCCAGTTAATTCAACTGAGAAAGCAAATCCAAAGAACGTGTCAGACATCCGACGTGCTATCCACAGATATAATGAAGCTCAGACTATATACAATGAAGATATATTCGGTCCAGTCCAGAATGACACCATTATCATTGCTATTCAGGTATTTTTAAGGTTCCACCATCCACCATCTCAAAGGCCGGCAACGCATCTGCTGTTCCTCTGGTATTGATGTCCATGGGCGCCGTTGAACACTTCGGTGTTCCCGCTGCCCTCTTCTGTTATAAAGAAATACTACGCAATTTTAGATATAGGTAAATCGTTAGATTTGCCATCAAAGAATTTGTGGTACTTCTTTGTATAGGTTCTAGGACATCCTGTATAATAAAACACTATTGGGATTCAAACATTTTATTCAAGGCATGAGACTATGGTCTAGTGAATAACTTAGGGTACGCTCCGAGACCTTCAGTGGAGACGTACCACACCTGATGATGATGATTCAAGGCATGAACTTAGTCTTTGGTAATTTCCGTCTAGCCAGTATTAAATTTCTTCCAGTTAGACCAGCTAAGTTAATCTTCTTAGGCAACAAACTATCAGATACTTGGAAAGTTTTTATCTGTACTTTTTTGGTCTTCTTCACTTTTGGTGTCGTATCTTCTACCCAAATCTTCTGTTGGGACTCTGATAGACCGGTTAGAAGACGGAATTTCCTTTTCACCTGGAAGAAAATAATCTTACTAATATTATAAATGCGAATGTTTAGATGAATGTTAGAAGGTATCTACAGAACGGATTATTAACACTAGCCCGCAACTCTGTCCGAATCAAAAGAAAATTAGTAGTCTATATGTTCTTCCAGACTATGTTCTACCTCTATGACAAATTTCATCAAAATCCGTTGAACCGTTCTGGAGATACCTTCTAACAAACATCCATCCTAACATTCGCATTTATAATATTAGTACGATAGATTAAACCAGTCTTTCCCAAAGTGTGCGATAACGCCCCCTTGTGTGCGCTGCAGGTGTCAAGTTGCGGGTTATAGTAAAAGTTTCGTTTAGAATTCTCCGTTAATATACATATATAGGTCACAATAATTAATTTAATTTGAAGTTATAGTGGTTTTTATATATGTGAAAATATGAGGGCGCTAAAAAATATTTATTCTGAAAGTGGGAAGTAGACAAAATAAGTTTGGGAACCACTGGTTTAAACAATAGTTTATCAGTCAGGCGTAACATCTTTGAGGCTTAGTGTGGACTTAAAGTCGTAAAAATACTTCAAGTTGATAATCTGTCTAGACAGATTATAAAATGACGAAGTTTTTTTTATATCATAAAGTGGCAAACGAGCGAGCGGTCACCTAAAATCGCTGAAATAGCGAAGTGACCGTTACCCATAGACATACGCAATTGCATATGCGTTGCCTACCTTCAATCGACGGAGGAGAGGATGCACAGAAAGAATTTACCCTTCCCATGCATCCTCTCATCCGGAAAGTCCACTTCCACTTCCCATCCTTTCCTTATAAGAAAAAGTGTGGGAAGGGAAAGAGGACTTATTTAGGCCTCCGGGACGCACACTCATCAGACTGTAGTTGGAATTACTTCGCACTTGAGGCGTGTCTTCTGTGTGGTCGTGGTATTTCACTGAGCGAGCCGTGACAATTCGTGCGAACATGTTAAAGCGGACTCTACCACTGTTAAAACCTAGTCTAGTGAAACCGCGATTTAAACTCACCAATCTTTCTGTCGTCTTCTCACTTTTAGGTATATAATGAGGTATATATGTAATACGTCTAGGTATATGTACTCTGCCGAATTTAACTTTTGGAAAATCCGGTTTTTGATACCTAAAAAAAAAATTATAAGATGAAACTAAAAATTTACGGTTTTCGTAATTTTTCCTTTATCTGTGCTTTACGATGTTGCTTCGTGCCAAATTTCAAGATTCTAAGTTCACGGGAAGTAACCTGTAGGTTTTGATTTGCGAATGTCGAAAATTTGCGTAAATTTGCGACATAAACGGTTTTAGTTTTATTTTTTCACCTAGCGACCGCAGACTTGAGTATTTGATATAAATTTCAGCTTAATATTGACAGACGGATTGAAGGACAACAAAGTGATGCTATAAGGGTTCCGTTTTCTTATGAAGTAACCAAATTAAATCTTTTATGTATGAAATAATTAATAATAATAACATACATACCATACTAAATCCCAATGATCCAAATAAATAGGTTCCGGCATAATTATTTTCATCCAACGTAAAATGTCGCATCTGTAATATATTACTCTATGACGTATAACATTCTCTACTCTATGACGCGAGACAGAAATATAAACAAGGCAATGGTGCGATAGAGATAGAACGTCTTGGTAATAACGAATACTGACGTATAAAGACTGAGATGAACATATACAAAAGCTAGAAGTGCGACAGTGAAAGAACATGCCTTCTGTGAACATAAGAGTTAACTTTGTATGACGCGTGAGCGTGACATATGTATACAAAAGCTAGAAGCGCGAAAGAGACAAAACATGTTCTCTGTAAACGCGTCTTAACTTTGTAAATGACATGTAAGCGAGACAGATATATATAAAAGCAGGTAGTTTGACAGAGAAAAAACATGTGTTCGGTGAACTTGTTGACTTTGTAGATTACGTGTAAGCGAGACAGATGTATTACAAAATCAGGCAGTGCGACGGAGACAAAACATGTCTTCTGTGAACGTGTATATGACGTGTAAGCGAGACGGATATATACAAAAGCCGGTAGCGCGACAGAGACAACATCTTACCTCGTCCAATTCTTTCTAATACCCCAACTAGGACCAGTCCTAGATTTGAACCACGTACAATGAGTTAGTGGTTTCCTTGGTGGTAGTCCGATACTACGAGCAAATCTTATAAACTCAGTGCTGTAAAGTTGACGTACTTTCGACGTTATAATCTAGAAAATATGGTTCATTTTATATTGACACAATAATATATCAAACATCTAAGGGGCTTAAACATCTTCAAATGTAGTCTATTCTCTATTTACTAATATTATTTGTATGGATGGATGGATGGATGTTTGTTTGAAGGTATCTCCAGAACGACTGTATGGATCTCAATGAAATTTGTCATAGATGTAGAACATAGTCAGGAAGAACACATAGACTACTAATAAAGTTTTTTTTGAGTCGCGGGCCAACAACTAGAGACCTATAAGTTTGTCAGCCTTTAATCTTAGTATAATCTTTGACCATTTCTACCAAGGTTATATACTCTATGACGTCACATAATGTATGACGTTACATACTCTATGACGTTACATACTCTATGAAGTCACATAATGTATGACGTTACATACTCTATGACGGTACATACTCTATGACGTCACATAATGTATGACGTTACATACTCTATGACGTCACATAATGTATGACGTTACATACTCTATGACGTTACATACTCTATGACGTTGCATACTCTTTGGCCTTTACCCGCCAATTTATGTCTTACCTTTATGTGTTCGAAATCGCGTATATTCATAAGAGGTAATTTTGAAGGGTCTTCAAGCATTAAAAGACGGAGGCCGTTTATATCATTAACCAATATACATTCCTGGAAAGCAAAATAAACTGGTAAAAGACAGTCTAAATATAGCCTAGAAATATGGTTCTTGGAGGATAAAGTTTTTGTCTATTTCCAAAATGATTTGTAATCTTCAGATCCTACGTGTTTTCCTATCTACATATGTACATTTATCTTATGTTACGATGAATGAAAACATCGTGATGCTGCACATATCTGAGAAAGTCAAATGTGTGAAGTCTTGCACTGGACCATCATTCACTATCACATATCACTTAGGGTATTCTCTTCCCGCTGTTAGGACGTACAATGAGCTGATGATGAAAAGGACTAGGCAATTGTTCGTCTTTATTTGACATATAATGCACATGACAGCTGTCACTTAAAAGTCAAAGAGTCACTAATCTATTTTTACAACTTACTCTATACTGTGGTAAGCCTATATCTGAAATCCAGTCAGCAACATTTTCTGCAGTCCATGTGAACGCGTCAGGGAAATGTAAATCATCAACGACTTTGGCTGATAATTCGTATAATGTTAAAGGAGATTTCAAACATGGTAGTAATTTCCTGAAATAAATAAATTTAAAAAAAGATGTGTGAAAATCCGTTAGAAAAACGCGGTTAGGCGACTCGAACATATCACGTCTCCCGAAAAGTGAAAAGTTAATATTACAAGACCGATTCTCGATAGTTCACAGTTATTCGTTGCGTGGTCCGACACTATGACAACCTTTTTTAACAGTGGTAGAGCCCGCTTTAACATCTTCGCACGAATCGGCCCGGCTCGCCCGGTGAAATACCACAACCACACAGAAGACAGGCTTGAAGTGGAAGCAATTCCGCGTTTCGTCTGATGAGTGTGCGTCCCGGAGGCCAAAATTAGTCCTCTTTCCTTCCCACCCTTTTTCTTATAAGGAAAGGATGGGAAGTGGAAGTGGACTTTCCGGATGAGAGGATGCATGGAAAGGGAAAATATTTCTGTGCATCCTCTCCTCCGTCGATTAAAGGTAGGCAACGCATATGCAATTGCGTATGTCTATAGGCAACGGTCACTTCGCTATTTCTGCGATTTCAGGTGACCGCTCGCTCGTTTGCCACCTTATGATATAAAAAAAACCGTCCATTAAGTACTACATTAATCCTAATATAACATTAATTCGATACTTTATACACGTCAGTAGTCAAATTAATCTTATCTTAAATAGACTATACTTACTTGTTCTTAACATAAGGATCATTAGGGAAGCAACCACATTCAATACAAGTAGTTTTATCTGGTGTTACATAAATAGGAACTCGTTCCGGTATAACTATGGATGGTTGCCTTCGAGGTATTATTATTTTACGATTATATTTAATTTTCTGTAAAGAAAAATAATTTTTAACCTTAACCAAAGGAAAAAAATTCTGTAAGCCAAGTCCAAAAACAAACATAGTACAAGAAAAATAAGGCTTGCAAATGTTATGTCGATAACAATCTTACTAATACAAACTAGCTGTTACCCGCGACTCTTTACGCGTGGATATATAAAAACTTAATTAGTGTAACCTATGTGTTCTTTCAGACTATGTTCTATACGTATGCAAAATATAATCGAGATCCGTTCAGCTGTTCTAGAGATATATTCAAACATCCATCCATATCACATCCATCTAAACATTCGCATTTATAATATTAGTAAGATTGTTTTATAGCGTATTATTTTGTTACTCTTCTAAAAATGTTATCTTACCTGTTCGCCTTTTTGTTTTATTTCTCCCATTTTTTTAAATTTATTTACGAAATATGATAAAATGTAAAAAAAACGTGTATAAATTATAAAATATGCAATATAAAACATAAAAATTGTAAATGACATTGACAGTTTGTCATCGCGATGACTTTTTTTACTTTTTTAATTTTTATTTTATAATGGTTGTTGCAATATTCTGCCAAATTTATTTTTTAATTTACAAGATTAATTTTTTTAGTATAATAGCTATCGCCCGTGAGTCTGTTCGCGCGGAATTAAAAAAAACCATACTTAGTAGTCTATGTGTTCATCCAGACTATATTCTATATGTATGACAAATTTCATCTAGATCCATTCAGCCGTTCTGGAGACAAACATCCATCCATCTAAACATTCGTATTTATAATATTAGTAAGATGCGAATGTTTAGATGGATGTTTGTTAGAAGATATCTCCAGAACTACTGCATGGATCTAGATGAAATTCGTCATACATATAGAACAAAGTCTGGAAGAACACATAGACTACTATTTTTTTTAATTCAACGCGGACAGAATCGCGGGTGACATCAAGTTTTTAATATTAGTAAGATCGTGAACCTTGTCTTGTGGTTGTCTCTGAACGAGATCTGAAGACATACATTTTTTTTTAAATTAATTTAATATTACTTTCCAGGTCCACACTAGACTTACGTATCTACGTCACTTGATCGTGTCTTTGGCTCAAGCGAGAGACATCGATAAAACTTTATTAGTTTTTTCTCACGACTACTATGATGAAGAAATTAACTCTTTAGTAAGAAGTATAGATTTTACTAAGGTAAGTAATATTTAAAATAATAATTAGTAGTTTTTTTGTTTATGTTATAAGGTGGCAAACGAGCAGTCATCTGAAATCGCTGAAATAGCGAAGTGACCGTTGCCCATAGACATACGCAATTGCACGCGAAGCCTACCTTTAATCAAAGGAGGAGAGGATGCACAGAAAGAAAATATCTTACCTTCCCAAGCATTCTTTCATTCGGAAAGTCCACTTCCACTTCCCATCCTTTCCTTGAGAAAAAGTGTGGGAAGGGAAAGAGGACTAAATTAAGCCTCCGGGACGTACACTCATCAGACGAAACTGTGTGGTCGTGGTATTTCACTGAGCGAGGCCAATTCGTGCGAAGATGTTAAAGCGGGCTCTACCACTGTAAACTGTGTTCTTCCAGACTATGTTCTATGTATGACAAATTTCAGCGAGATCTATACATTCGTTCTGGGAGATACCTTCTAACAAACATACATCTAAACATTTGGGTCCTTGGCTTAGGAGTTAAGTACTTGACTTGTAATTAGATCCTGGGTTCAAATCCAATGTACCAATGTTTTTACATATTAACATTTATCGTATGTTGTTACGGTGAAGGAAAACATCGTGATGCTGCACATATCTGAGAAAGTCAAATGTGTGAAGTCTTGCACTGGACCAGCATTCACTATCATATAATCTCACTTAGGGTAGACTCTGACCCTCAGTGGGGATGTATTAAGAACTATTTTTTTTTTTTTTTCAGGTCATGCAAATTTTTTATCCATTTTCCATACAAACTCATCCAAATGAGTTTCCAGGAGTCGACCCCAACGACTGTCCGAGAGACGTACGACTCGAACAGTAAGTAAAAAAACTACATTTCCACTGGCACATAGAAATTTTCGTTATTAAATTTAGTGGAATAACAGTTTAATATTAAAAAAATAACAAGAGAAATATTGTGATTTGAAAATGGAAGTGTATTTTATTATTTCATTGGAAAATCGTCTTTATTATTTTAGTAAATAAAGTTTAAATCCAATGAATCAATTTTAAGGAAACATTTGAAACGAAAATCAACTCTATTTAAATTAAGATAAAGAAGAAATTCAATTAAATTTGGTTTTGACAAATTTTTTTCCGTTAATATTTCTGTCGATCGCCAATTTGAAATTCAAATAGTACCAACATTTTAAAATTATTGTAAGCGATAATCACCTTTATCACTATCCAAATAGAGTTCAAATTGGAATATCAATTTGCCAAATCTAAATCGTAGTAAAAATGTCAATCAATAATGACCTTTATTCAAAGGGCGATAAAGTTGAAATGCAACAACGCCCACCATCCCGATCTCCACGGACACTATCGCGAGGCGAAGTACACACAGACCAAACATCATTGGTGGTGGAAAGCGAATAGAATATTCAACCAGCTGCAGTGTACTGCTGGGCATACAGGTAACCAGTATTTCTTGAACTACATTGTAAAATTAAATATACTAGATAGGAGGTCTTTTTATATTAGAGATAACCACCAGTGTTACTTGTGCTGTGTTACGAAAGATACATTATGGGGTAATGGTTCTTCTTAAACTGGTTTTATTAACTAATATATGTTGGTCTATAATATTGTAGAAAATGTATCAAATAAGAGTTCTTTTTAAGCTGGTTAAGAGTTTGATTTACAAGTGTAACTTGAACTGTAATACCATAGTAAATATATGGCATGGCGGTTCAACTTAGACTGGATATATTTTTAATGTGTCCAGTAAAAATTGGACTACGTTAGTAAAGGATTTGTAATAAACGATGGTTCTCCTAATATCAGGATTTTTTTTAAAACTGTCTGATATAACCAGTATACATAGGTCTGCGTGATTAAGAATTTTGTACTATATGACAGGTCAACTTATACTGGTTTTCAGGTATGGTGGTCTTTTTGGAAGAAGACCACTATGTGGCTGAAGATTTCATACATATGCTGCATCTCCTGAGGAGTACAGCTGATAGAAGCTGTCCACATTGTGAGATGTTGTGTCTCGGAACATATTTGAAAACTTACCAGTATCATACTAATGGAGATAAGGTAATGTACTCTATTTTGTATGGATTAAGGTCTAATTTTAAACAATCTAAATATGTATTTGAAATATTTTAATATGAAAGTTTGGGTAATATATACTCTATTGAGTACGAAATAAAGTTTAATTTTAAACGGCAACATAACCAATAAAATTTTATTATTTTTAAATTATTAATTCCGCTTTTAATTTATTAAAAAAATCATCATTCAAATAATAAATCGATTTTTCAATATATTTTTTTTATTTGCTATAAAGAAAAATGCACTTTATTCCTTTAAGAATAAAGTTGATATTTAAATTTAAATACTAACCTAACAAAATAGAATTTAAATTTCGAATCAATATTCATATTATATTTACGGATAAGGGAAAATACACTCTATTGGATTAAACATAAAGACGAAATTACATTTAACAATATAATTTCTATAGTATTTAGGTAAGGGAACGTAACCATACTACGTGACCCGTTTAGGAGGGGGGAGCGGAGTCTTTAAAATACTACGGTCAGTCACAGGAGCGGGGGGGGGGGGGGTCAGATCTTAGTCACGTAGTCGTTACATGTTTTTTTTTCATAATACATAATTCACTAGTAATTTAAGTATGCATGCAGTCTTATGCTATAAAGATGAGTATGAGCCAAATTATTTCGTTTATTTTTTTTAATACCCAGAGGGGAATTTTTATTTAATTTTTCTGGTGACCCTTGTGACCACCCCTATCATCCCCCTTCCTATGTAATCTTTTGGGACATCCTGTATATGTATATTAACGGAGAATTGTAAAGGAAACTTTTACTATAACCCGCAACTTGAGACCTGCAGCGCACACAAGGGGGCGTTATCGCACACTTTGGGAAAGACTGCACTCCACAAATATGAAGATATTCCTGCATTTTTTTTATTACCTACCTTAGTAACATGGATATAATTTTAAAAAAATGGCACTAAAACATTCGTAATTTAAGCACAAAAAATAAATTAATTTGATTTATCAATCTTGTTATACACCATTATCGTTTTATTGAACATTTTTGACGAGCGAGAAACCTCTATAAGCGAGAAAAACGTCGAAGTCCTTCGACTTTCGTTGGACAATTTTTTTTATTACTACCAAATATTGGTTATTTTACGAAGTTTTTTATTGTTTTTTTTTTTTAATATAAATGGTATAGCGGAAGCAACTTAGCCTGAGTTACATCCAGCAAGTGAGAGCGGCGAATGAGGAAAGAAGACGCAAGATGCAAGACACTCAGTGGAATTACCAAGTTTATCCATATCTCTACTCCAGCAACCAAAAGGTGCTTAATACTGGCAACACTATGTACAGGAACGTATTTACTAGCGCCCTGGGCGCCCTGGGCGAGATTACTATTAGCGCCAAGGGCGAGATTGCTAACACCGCCCTGAGCGAGATTGCTAATAACGCCCGCTTTTAATACAATGCATTTAAGAGTTTTAACAATTATAAGCTTAATCTTATAATCTAATTTTAGTTTTCTTTTTGGCATGGGGTAGTAGATTTGATGGTGGAGGGGACACATAGGAAGGGAAAAGATTCTTTATATGAGTTCCGCCGTCGATTAAATGTATACAACACGACTAAAATTGGGAAACTGTAAGAAATGTGAGACTGTAATTAGCAGACTTGGGACGCTTTATGTCCTACTGTTAAAAATTAATTTGAAATATTTGCATTTAAAATTAATTTATAAATTTTTGTTTCAAATATTAATATATTTGGGGAATTTTATTTTTAATGATTACAACCCTACGGTATGTCAATAACATTGACATTACGTAGTGTTGATATTATCAATAAATAAAATAACACAATTTATTTTCAAAAATGGAATACGTTCAACTGTCAATTTTTTAAAAAATAAAAAAGCGGACTAATTAATCGAACGAACACTTTTTGTCTCTGTTCTATTCAAAGATAATGAAAGAGAAAGCATCTTTACGTCAATAGAGTGCCTGTACGTGGTGTTGCTATTAAAATTATGTTTATCCAATTTAATTATGAAAAATAGCAATAAAGCTAGTAATTTAGTGAGCTCTTTTAAAATTTCTTGTATATAAAATAATCTTTATGTAATGCCTGGTTTTATATCCCAGAATAGTACATTAACGCTGGAATGTATATGCTGGTTCTAGTTATTGTTTTATGCCAGTGATTTGCTACTGTCTTACTGTACTGGAATGTTAATCAGCTATATGTGACTGAATTGAAAGATATAAAACATAAGCGTTTGATATAAGTTTGACGATTTTCGTAACGTCATTAACGTGCGTGATGTAAATATTTAACAAGTTGTTTTTTTTTTAATCCAGGCAGTGTAGCGTATTTAAGTTAAAAGCAAAATATAGTAAGAAATATGTTTCAATTTGTATTTAATAAACGCTAGTGATCTATATTATCAATTATTTAAAATTTCATAATTTCTTATTTCTGATATAAAAATAAGTACCTGGATGACTGGAGGTTTGCTCGGTATTTTTTTTACTTGTGTTTTTTGGAAATTATATTTAAGTAGGAATTACTAATAAAATGATGAAATATGAATATTATTTTTCGATGTTACCGATAGAAAAAGTTAAGTTTATGTTTAAGTTGATTATCGATAAAACACGAATAAAATGACATTTTCTAAAAATGATTCCTAACTAGATTTATCGCCCCCGAAACCCGCCTATATACTAAATTTTATGAAAATCGTTGGAGCCGATTCCGAGATTCCAATTATATATATAAATATATACAAGAATTGCTCATTTAAAGATATAAGATAAGATAATATATCTTCAATTCAGTCACAAAACTGACGCCGAAATATATCACAATGTAACATTTGACATCTGTCAAGTTGACGTCTTTAGTGATGTGAAATAAGAAGGTAAATAACCGGTATTTCTTTTTTTAATTTTAAGCCAATTTTACGTTTTACTTAAGTTTTTTTTTTATAGATTTATGTTATATTGTGATTTATTGGTGCTTTATTCGAGATTTTATTATAAAATCTATATAATCTGTATCGCTATTGAAGGGGCTGTATACTTATAAGCTTCGCATGTATTATTAAAATCTATATCTTTGTAGAAAAGCTAGATTTGTAATCATCAATGATTTAATCTTTATATATATAATTCTTCTGTGAGTGTGTATGTCACTGAACTTCTCTCAAACGATTGGACCGATTTTGATGAAATTTATTGTGTGTGTTCAAGGGGATCTGGGAATGGTTTAGATTCACAATTTTCATCAAATATTAACTTCATATTATATCAAATTAAAGACATGTAGACAGGACGTCTGTCGGGTCCGCTAGTTAGTATTATATAAGTCAAAGATACTGCTAGATTTTCATACAATTTTCACGTTTAATCGTGTTTTTTTTTGACATTGAATGACAGAAATGCATACCAGTATAATGAATTTAGTTACCAAAATCGGGAAAATTTAAATGTATTATAATTTAAATAAATTAAATTTGTTAAATTTCTATATATTTTTAGACATTTATTAATTACAAATAAAGTCAAGTGTCAGATGTAGTGAGGGGATATAGACGTTGACATTTTAGTAAGGCTAGTGTTGCGTCATACTAGCACATCGGATTTTCTTCCTAACAATATCATCATCAGCTCACTATACGTCCCCACCGAGGGGCTCCGAGTCTACCCTAAGTTAAGGGTGATTAGGCCATAGTCAACCACGCTGGCCAAGTGCGGGTTGGTTGACAATATCAAATAGCATAAAATGTGGATTGTAAAATCATATTAAAGCATGTATACAAAGTGTTACAAACAAAAACTTACTAATATTACTATTTTTACATATGTCAAAAAATTAAATTTATTTAGGAAAAAATCTAAGACATTTTTTTTTATATTTTAATCTGAAAAAAAAAACTCTGAAGTATTTTTTTGTCTGTGGCACATTTTATAATCTATGGCTGGCATGTGGTGGCGGTATAAGCATGGCATGCATGAGTTTTTATGATTTGTAAATTAGAAGGATTTTTGTAATATTTAACTGGCAACATTTAACCTACCAGTTGGTAGATTTTAGTAGGAAGATGTGTAATGTTTTAATAGTATATATAATTAAGTAGAAATACATAAAAGTTACTGATTTTATTATAATATAGATAGTAAATTAAATTTTAATTAGTCTTTAACTTTCTTTAAATTGTAGATCTAAAAAAAAATGAACAAGTAAAAACTAAACAATGTACCTAAATATTTTGTTTGTCGTAAATAAATTTAAATAAAAAAATATTTAAGCCAAAACAAAACATTTATAATAAATAATATTGCATGTACGTTTTATTCTTAAACTAAAAAGCATTATTTGCTTCGCGCGCTTACCTGTCAAAAGTGACATTCAAATGTTGCCATAATAGAAATTCTCCCTAATTTCAGGTAGAAATTACCCCATGGCACTCGAGTATGCATAACATGGGGATGGTATTTAATAGAACCGTATGGAACAATATAATGGAATTGCAAGAACAGTTTTGTGCTTACGATGATTACAACTGGGATTATTCCTTGCTACATTTGTCCCAGAATCGACCTAAGAGAGATAAGTTCAAAGTGATTCTGTGTAAAGGACCTCGTGTCTTTCATATTGGAGAATGGTAAGACTATTTGCAATATTACTACACTTACAAACGTCCATTTCTTTGTATAGATTTCTACATTTTCCTGCTTGTTTTTTTTTTGCTTAATATTATATTAGTCAAATTTTATCATTTTATTTCTTATTTGATTGTAAGTCAACCGACATTTTGTTGCGGCAGCCATTTTGGATTCATTATAGTTTACTCTAAACCAGTGGTTCCCAAACTTGTTTTGTCTATATTTTTTTAACGCCCCCATATTTTCACATATTTAAAAACCATGTATATTAACAGTGGCAAACGAGCGAACGGCCACCTGAAATCGCTGAAATAGCGAAGTGACCGTTGCCCATAGATATACGCATTTGCATATGCGTTACCTACCTTTAATCCACGGAGGAGAGGATGCACAGAAAGATAATATCTTCCCTTTCCATGCATCCTCTCATCCGGAAAATCAACTTTCACTTCTCATCCGTTCCTTATAAAAAAATGGTGGGAAGGGAAAGAGGACTAAATTAGGCCTCCGGGACGCAAACTTTATTTTCCAGTGGCATCCACCACAAGAAATCCAACTGTAACGCGTCAACAGTTATCAGTAAAGTACAAAAATTACTACAGAACGCTAAATCCTATTTGTATCCGACGCGTGTATCAGCCACGATTAGCGCAGGTGGAGCTAAACATAACAAGAAGTTAACCAAAGGAAATGGCGGTTGGGGAGATATTAGGTAAGTGATAAACAAACAGAGCGGCCTAGGTTCGAATACCGACATACCAATGTTTTATGTACATTTATCTTATGTTACGGTGAAGGAAAATATCGTGATGCTGCACATATCTGAGAAAGTCAAATGTGTGAAGTCTTGCACTGGAACAGCATTCACTATCACATATCACTTAGGGTAGGCTCTAGAGAGCAATATAAAAATGTTTTTTTTCGTATCCAACCCCTTTCCCTCCTCATTGATCAGTTCATCAGCAGGTGATGCTGGTGGCTTATTTTGTTTTTTGATTACATTTGGTTATTTGGAGGTATAGATAATTTTGGGGGTCTTAATTTCATTCTAGGGGTCTAGATCTTTTGAAAACCTTTGTGTTTAGTAGCCTATGTGTTCTCCCAGACTATGTTCAACATCTATGTCAAATTTCATCAAAATCTATACGGGCGTTCTGGAGATATCATCTAACATACATCCAAACATTCGCATTTATAATATTAGTAAGATATAATATTTTATTTCTCAGGGATCAAGAACTTTGCACGAATATGACTAAAGTCGACAGACAAATGAGGAAATATATTCATTTTGCTTAGTACCGCCATTTTGTTGTACCAAATAAATGACCACATTTTATTTAAGTAAAAAACGTCAGATCAATATCAAAGTAACGGCTCTATTTTTTTCAATACTATCCTATAATAACGCTTAATGTCAAAATCGATGTAACATAAATAAAGTTATCTGACCCGGTGTGCGTCAAAGATTATAACAGCTCACTAGCGCCCCTCTATCAATGTCAAAAAGTTACAATCCTATTTGTCATTTTTTTCTTTTATGTCATTTTTTATGCCTAAGTAGGTTTTATATGTATTCTGGCTTGCACCCACTGTTCCCTATAAATGGACTGGCTATATTACGTGCTATTTTGTGCTATTTTCGACATTTTAGTGCTGATGGTATTATTTTGTTGATGTGAATTCGAACAAATATATATATATATATATAGAATTAACTGTCACGTAACATAATCAGTTGCGTTAAAATCATAAGGAAGCAAAATCTGTAATTTTTAAGAAATTGTCTATATATTTATAGAGTTCAGTGGCTGTAGGTGTCTTGGAACTTTTTCTTTTAAGTAATTTTCTATATCTAAGTTTATATATATATATATATATATATATTGTGACGATTAACATCATTAGTTGTGCCTTACCGGATCAGATAACTTTGTCATACGATGTAACGTTTCTTAGTAAAACTAACCTAAAAATAATTACCACATAAAAATGAATGTCCGACCCAAATAATAAGGTGCTTTTAACTAATTTTGTTGTTTAATTACAATTTTATAGTCTGTTGTAGCGAAAAGTCTATCTCGAATATTTTTTTCTATCGTATTTTAGTCACTGGCATAAAATCTTTTGTTTCTATAGATTATATTTAATCTGTGATTTAAATTGGACGCAAATAGGCACAGAATGCTATGAATTATAGCCTGTCCATGTATAAAGGGCATTGGTAATATAATGAACAAACTTAAACAATTATTATTAAAGTAAAAGGATCTTAAGTTGGTATAAATTAAACGAATTGGTTTAAAATAAATCGTATATAAAAGACATTTGCATTTATATGGGAATTTTGTCGAAATTTTTCTATTATTTTTAGTTTAAACCAAAAGATATATTTTTATTACGCACTACTCGAATTGAATAACGTATTTTGTAATGCAATTTGAAATATAAGAAAAAAATATGGCGGGAAATTTTGACAGATGTCACAGAAACTTTGTTTTCTTTTCTTCGTCTTTGGTTTGTGAATAATTTCATTTCTTTGTTATTTTTTTTCATATATTTCATTTTGTATGTTGCCAGTAGCGAAAGTACTTAGGTAATTGTTGATATTTTGTAATAAAAAGTATTAATATTTTATTATTTTTTTTAATAACCAAGTTATATGTTAGTTATTTAATACCTCAAAAGATAAAATAAAAAAAAAGTTTTTATTGTAAAAATTATTTTCTTATCTTTTATTGTGATTATTTTTCGAATATTTTTTGCCTTGAGTATTTCGTTTTTAATTTTTTTTTTGTAATAAAAGGCGATTTTTTTATTTTTTTTTGCTGTATATGTTGATATTATATAACTCATTTTAATACAATAATGTTGATTGTTTTTACATAATGACGGAAAAATTGTAAGTCGTGTAAAAATATAAGAATAAACTAAGAAATTTGTGATTTCTTTCTTTAAAAGATCTTAAATTAATTTGTTACCTTATTTTAAAACAATTTACATTTATTTTATATAATTTTAAACCGTAATTTAAGTTTTATTCGAAGAAAATTGTAATTTTAAAGAAAATTGACAATTTTTTTTTATAAAATGGCAGTTTGTGAATGAAAAAGTTTAATATTCGACTATTAAATAAAGCGCCATCTTTTGACAACAATTTAAATAAAAACTAAAACAGACTAAGTTTAATGTATTTTGTCAAGAGATGGCGCTGTTTTCCAAAACCTGTGTACTCTGCCGGTTATGTTAAAAGATATTTCTGTCTTCGTTGCCTATATGTGTTATTTTATAACCAAAGATTTAAATACATAATATAGGCACATACCTAACAATATGGTTTTTTATTTCAATTCCTACCAAAACTCACAATCTCATGAGAAATATACACAAAAAATTTTAAAATATTAAAGGGACCCGTAATATTTAATAATCAGATTTTCAGCGGGAATATTATATCTATACTAATATAATATTACGTTAACAAACTTTTTTATAACGAAAAATCTTAGCAATCACAGTATATTTTTGAATAATTCTTTTTGGTATAAATAGCCTTATAATTATGACACGCTATAGTCTATATATTTTCACGACATTAAACTTAGTTGGTGAGAAAATTGAAAAAAATTGTAATGAGAGGGACATAAATTGCAAGCCAATAGGAACAAAGATGGTTGTCATGGTAACGGTAATTTTCATCCAATGGCGAAGGCTTGACAATTGAATTTTGACATCTGCAATTGAGTTATAAGTAAATAGAATTTTTTCCTTTTTAACAAAAACTGGTCAAGTGCGAGTCAGACTCGCGCCCCTAGGGTTCCGAATAAATTCCAGCTTGATATCTTCACGCCTTTTTGAGAAAAAGGGTCTTAACAGACGGACGGACGGACAACAAAGTGATCCTATAAGGGTTCCGTTTTTTTCCTATGAGGTACGGAACCCTAAAAGTGATTAGAATTTCTTGTAAAAGCACGGAAAGAGCTAGGAAGCAATATTTGTTAACCTAACATCTTATTACGTGATTACATTTGACTTATTATAAGCCCTTAATCCTATAAAGGTGTTAAATAAAACACAATATTATCAAAACAAATTTTTACATAAAATTATTTAGAAAAATATTTTATCTTTTAAATCTAACAATTGTCTTATTCACAATCATTATTCACAGAATTAACATTAAAAGTGTACATTTTGTTAGCCTTTTCACGAAAAACGCACAAACAAATTGCATAGAAACTTATATTTAGTTTAATCTGTCGCAATATTTGTCGATAAACTTGCAAATTATTTTATACTTAAAATAAACTCAAAACTTTAAAGTAATTTGTAATTAAAAATATTCAAAAACTTTTACAGTTATTATTCAAGTTTCCTAAAAAGGCTTGCTATTTTAAGTAATTAATCAAAATTATATTCAAACTTCATGAACTAAGATAAGCAAGAAACCACTATAAGCGAGAGTCAATATTTAGTAGTAATGGACGAATTCCATATGGGAGAAACTCGTGTTAGATAAAAACCTTTATAAGCGAGACACTCTGGTTAGTTACCTGTGTAAGCAAAAAATGTAGCTATCAAAAGGTGGCAAACGAGCGAGCGGCCACCTGAAATCACTGAAATAGCGAAGTGACCGTTGCCCATAGACATACGCAATTGCATATGCGTTGCCTACCTTTAATCGACGGAGGAGGGTGCACAGAAAGAAAATATCTTCCCTTCCCATGCATCCTCTCATCCGGAAAGTCCACTTCCACTTCCCATCCTTTCCTTATAAAGAAAAGGACGGGAAGGGAAAGAGGACTAAATAAGGCCTCCGGGACACACACTCATCAGACGAAGCGCGGAATTGCTTCCACTTCACGCCTTCTGTGTTCGACTTTGTACGCTCGCAATTTCTCTCAAATCAATTTAAATGTATAAAAACTTCACTTCGCTATTTTAGCGATTTCATGTGGCCGCTCGCTCGTTTGACACCTTGATATAGAAAAAACAGTTTCTCGCTTATAGAGGTATTTTCACTAATGATTCTCGCTTATGAAGGTTTCGAGGTTATCCAGTAGTATAAGAGTTCAATTGTTAGTTCAAACCTGTTCAATTGTAAGTTCAAACCTTATCAGTCATCAGCTTTCTTACTATATGTACGTTTAGTGCTTAACGTCATCTCCCATGTCTTGGCTACAGTACAATAAAGTTGCATAACAGCTCTAGCATCTTCAACGGAGCTGTGCTCCCCTCGCTGGATGTCTATACCAAGGATTTCTTTAGCTAAAAACTTTAAAGAAGGTGTACTACCTTTTTTCATCTGTAATGAAAAGGAAATTGTCTTATTAGTTTTTTTAATTCATAAAAAATATAATTCAATGTAATAGTAATTAAAGTATAGTAATTTGGTAAAATTTCTCTTGTTGTTCTAAAGGTCATCAGCATTAGCTCACTATATGTCCCCACCGAAGGGCTCAGAGCCTACCCTAAGTTAGGGGTGACAAGACCATCAACCACACTGGCCCAGTATGGGTTGGTTGGCTTTGCACTTATCTTTGAATTTCTTCTCAGATATGTGCAGCATCACAATGTTTTCCTTCACCATAAGAACGTCGGATAAATGGTCTAAAGATACTTAAAGGAAAACAATCTTATTTGTACTTACCTTTCTAAATGGTTTGTATTTAGATGTATCTCTTATTTTAGTCTTCGGATGTGATAGAAATAATACATTCAAATCATTCTTTAAAGAATGACCAACTAGTATTCTTCCTCTTAATATTTCTGCAACCTCTTTTTGTACTACTGAAAACTCTTCTCCGGTGATTAAATTCTCTCTACGAATACCACTAACTTCGGTTCTATAGTCTTTGACTTCTTCTCTTGCTTTCACATATTTATCATAAATACAATCCCCGAATTTATTTACTAATGACACTCTGGCAAGCATATGATCCTCACCATTGTAACCTATGCCGACCATCTCACAATCCATAGCTACAAACTTTGTTAATGAACCTTTTTTATTAACTGTTCTATTGTTTATGGTGTCTTTTGTTTTATTAGAATCAGCTAGGATTGAATTCAATTGCATTGATTCTAAATTTGTGTTAACAGAATCCATGTTGTTTTTCTTTCGAGCACGTCGAAATGTCCCAGTGTAGTGAGTCTCTTTTTGGATGACCTCTTTAGTATTGTCTACTAAATTACTTGATAATAGTTTACGCCAATTTGCATCAATCATGCCCCTTATAGCAACGGTTTCAGCTTCACCATTTTGTACCCTCTTTTGTTTTTTCGTATTTTGAATCATGTTGCTTTCAAGACATTGATGTATTATTACTTTTAATACATATAAAACACATTTAAGCGTCCAATATATAAGTCTTAATAAATAATCAACGAGAATTAATAATATATAAGAGATATCACCGATTAAAGTTTGCATTGGACCACATCTGACAGTTCTTTTGACAGATACACCACATGGCAAATGTGACATTAATTACAGTTACAGATTAAAAATAATTTAGTTTCCGTTCGGAAATACATGTGTTGGTAAATTCTATTTTAAATACTTAAATTAATTAACATCAATATATGAATATTGTGCTTGAAAGTGCATATTTCTTACTTTTAGATTAGTTGTTTAAGTTATTTTCTATTACGTTATTTTAAGATAATTTGTAATTTATTAAAGAGTCAAAATTCCAATTAAGCGAAATTAAAGTTGAGAGTAGTTTTTGTGTGCTCTTTATGTAATAAAAATGAAATAAACACCTTTGGAATAAAATTATTATTTTTCCTCATTGATTCAATTTCATGATTTGGTTTCAGAACAAAACTGTCAAATTACATCAACCAATCGACAACTTGACATATTACGTCAAATAAATTTAGTTATACATTGCTGTGTTTACTTTCTTGGTTTAAAAAACGTGTAATACCAAAGTCGACTTGTATATTAAAATTTAATGATATAAGAACGTACAACCTTGAATGTAAATAAACAGAATGTCAGATTCTAGCCGACGTGTTTCGCTGTTTTGGACTATACCGTGGTGGGAGAATGAACAGTGAAATGTCTTCGTTGGAACTTGTAGTCAGTGTTAACTTTCTAATCGCGCGGATCGGACCTGATAAGATATTAGCGGCAATTTAATATCACTTCAGTGTAAAATACGAGAACGTAATGTCATACGAAACTTTGAAGGAAGGATTGATCGCTCACGGTCAAGAGCATCTTATCAAATATTGGCCGGAACTTAATGAAAATGAGCGGGAACAATTGGCGGGAGAAATCGGAAAATTGGACATGGCCGAAATGAATACAATTTTTCGACGTGCTATGGACAGTACTAAAGTTATTTTAGAGAAGACTGATGATGATTTGAAACCGATACCCGAATCGCACTACGAATCCGTGCCCGGATTGACTAAAGAAAAAATTCAAGAATACGAAAATATTGGTTTCAAAGAAATTTCTGAAGGTAAAGTTGGTGTTTTGTTACTGGCTGGTGGGCAAGCAACCAGACTTGGGTTCGGTCATCCTAAAGGAATGTACAATGTTGGATTACCATCAAAGAAGACTTTATTCCAAATTCAAGCTGAGAGAATTCTTAGAGTACAGAATATGGCTACTGAAAGTACCGGAAAAGAGGGTAAAATAACTTGGTACATAATGACATCTGAACACACTATGGGTCCTACAGCAGATTACTTCAAAAATCATTCATACTTTGGTTTGAACGAGGAAAATATTAAATTCTTCGAGCAAGGAACATTACCTTGCTTTGATTTTGATGGTAAAATATTTTTAGACAAGAAACACCATGTCTCTTCAACTCCGGATGGCAATGGTGGGTTATACCGAGCTTTGAAGACCCAAGGTGTGCTAGAAGATATTAAAAGAAGAGGTGTACAACACTTACATGCACATTCCGTTGATAATATCCTTACTAAAGTTGCTGATCCAGTGTTTATAGGGTATTGTAAGAGTAAAAATGCAGATTGCGCAGCCAAAGTTGTATCAAAGTCAACTCCGAGTGAAGCTGTTGGTGTTGTATGTAGAGTGAACGGACATTACAAAGTAGTGGAGTATTCCGAATTAACAGATGAAGCTGCAGAACGTAGAAATCCTGATGGACGACTTACCTTCCGTGCAGGAAATATTTGCAACCATTACTTTTCTTCCGAGTTCCTTAGAAAAATATGCGATTATGAAACGAAATTGAAGTTGCATGTTGCTAAGAAGAAGATACCTTATGTAGATGAAAATGGTGTCCGTCAAACTCCATCAGAGCCAAATGGTATTAAATTGGAAAAGTTTATATTTGATGTGTTTGAGTTTGCGGAGAAGTTTATATGCTTAGAAGTTGCCAGAGATGTTGAGTTTTCTGCACTGAAAAATTCTGATGCCGCCAAAAAAGATTGTCCCTCTACAGCCAAGGAGGATTTACTGCGTCTACATAGAAAATATATAAGAGAAGCTGGTGGTGTTATTCAAGATAATATTGATGTAGAAATATCTCCATTATTGTCTTATGGTGGTGAAAATTTAGAGGATTTAGTGAAAAATGAAGTATTTGCTATTTCTCCATTCCATTTAAAGAGTATTTATGAATCAACAACCAATGGTGTAAATGGAAATCACTGATAAACAAAAAAACTCCACTAACTGACACCTGACACTCTGGAATACGAATCGTAAAACAATTCATCAAAATAGTTTAAATAGCTTTTTATCCACATAAAAAAAAAACTTGAGATGTGTCATCTTTAAATTTTAAATTACAAATTATACATCGTCATAAATGATTGCGGTAATATAATAATTAACTTACTTAATTCTATGCCCCAGTAATTTTTTTAATTGCCTATACAATGGACTTCTACCATAGATTTAAAACCTATACATACCTAACACAAGTGACGCGAATAAAGGCCTAAAAATTTAGAGTAACGCACACTTATTAAATATCGAAAATCTACTCACGATTAGACGTCAAACTTTTATGAAGCACTTCACCTATAGGTTTTAAATCTATAGATTTCCGCCATTTTGCTTTTCGAGCTTATAATGCCAATTGCAGTAGCTACTTAAAAATAATCAAAATTATTTGTATTTAAACATATTCTAGTCTAGTATAATTTTCCTATTCCATTAGGTTATTTTTAGCAATAATTACATTTAATTTTAGTATTAACGAAATATTTGTAAACGTCAAATTTTCGCGCCTAAATTTCGTAATATTTTTTTCTTTATAGTCAAAGATTATGATATCATATGTTGTATTAATTTTTAAAAAAAATGTTTTATAATAATTTTAACATCACAATCGGATAAAAAAGTGTGTAAATATTATGTTTTTGTAAATAATTTTAAGCATTTGAAATGCATTGATAATAATTAGTGTAGAAATTAAATTCAGATTTATAATTTTCATAATTTAAAAAAAATGTATAATTACGATTATGGTCAATCGTAGTAATAAAATATTATTATAGTAATGGAAGATTATTTTATTGTTTTTTATACATCATACTTTGTCATTATCGATTATTAATTGAATAATTTCAAATATTATTTTCAAGTTTCGGATCTCGGAGATATTTTACGTTAAAGTATTTTAAGTTTGTAAAATTGCTTCTTTACAATATATTCTGTAATTAAATAAACATGTATTATTCATATTAAATTGTTTTTTTCCTAACTTCATCATCAGCTCACTATACCTTCCTACTGAGGAGATCGGAAACCAACTCTAAATCATGGATCACTAGGTCTTAGTCAATGCTGACCCAGTGCGGGTTAGTTGACTTCATATATGTCTTTAAATTTTCTCTCCGTACTAAACACAAAAACTCTTGCACACAAAATGTGCTTTTAGTGATTTATTTTATTTGGTATGGTATCTGTTTCTGGAATTGAATTAAAAATATAGAAATAAAGTTTGAGAACCATAGACTATTCTTAGTGTCATTCGGTTAACGACCGCAGCGTCATTATTTAGTCAAATCACGCACAAAGACTTTACCTTTCTCTGGCGACCGTTTACTAAGATCAGTTTAGACTACTTTACATTGTTTTTTTTTATCTACACAAGTAATATAGTCAAGTGTTTTATTTTCTAATGCCACAAATAAGTTGGCTGAATTCATCTTAACCTTTGTCTCTCGCTCTCTCGTTGTCTAAACCGTTCGGAATTCAAACTTTTTTCAAATGCATTTAAAAATCGATATTCGAATGTTCTAGTAATTTTAGGAGTAAGAGGATTAAAATTTTTACGTAGGTAAAAATAATTTGTAATTTTTTTATTTAATTCAATACCTAATGTCTGACATTATTAGAAAATTTCGTAACTTTTAATTTAAAAGGGTGTTAACTTAAAAACGGGTTTGTTAAATTTCTGGCCAATAAACTTTGATTTGTGAACAAGGATAATATTGGTCAGGAAATCTGAAGATCAGGAAGTTCGTTGATGTAATATTTTTGACTCAACCACAGACAACTTAAGGAGTTAAAAACTTTTCAAATCATTAGATATTTTATCGTCGCTACCTACAAAAACCTGCAACAATTGAAAAGATGAAATATGCATTATCTTATCTTATATCTTTAAATGAGCAATTCTTGTATATATTTATATCTATAATTGGAATATCGGAATCGGCTCCAACGATTTTCATAAAATTTAGTATATAGGGGGTTTCGGGGGCGATAAATCGATCTAGCTAGGTATCATTTTTTAGGAAATGTCATTTTATTCGTGTTTTATCGATAATCAACTTAAACATAAACTTAACTTTTTCTATCGGTAAGATAGAAAAATATTATTCATATTTCATCATTTTATTAGTAATTCCTACTTAAATATAATTTCCAAATAACACAATTAAAAAAAAAATACCGAGCAAAGCTGCGGTGCGGTCATCCAGGTACTTTTTAATAAACAGAGAACAAAGAGAATCTTCTACATACAAATAAATATATATCCTACTAGACGAGGTGGTACGCGCGGAATTAAAAAACCAAATTAGTAGTCTATGTGTTCTTCCAGACTATGCTCTACATCTATGACAAATATCATCAAGCCATGCAGCTGTTCTGTAGATACCTTCTCTAACAAACATTCGCATTTATAATATTAGTAAGATTTCTATATTATACAGTCACTCTTTAATAATTAGAAAAGGGATTAGGAACAGAGTACTAGGATTGTCTTATACTACAAACAAGGGTATAGTTGTTAATTGATTCATGTCTTCCCACTCTACCACTATCTACCCTTGTTAGTTATAAGTCATGAAGATAAATATTGCGCCGTAGACTATCAGGTAGAGAGGTGTTGCTTATTATAAGGTTAAAAGAACGAGTTTGTGAACGCAATACGTTGCGTCATTTCTAGTGATGTACGTATATCGATGTTTATATCGATGAAAGTTTGTTTTTATCGATATAAATACATTACTAACTGAGGTTGAAATGCAAAATCAGTTTCTAAGGTTAAGGTTGATTATAACTTTATTAGCTGTTGCCAGCGTCTTCATTTGCACGGGATTAAAAAAAACTTAGTAGTCTACGTGTTTTTCCAGATTATTTTATTTAGATCCATGCAGATGTTCTGGTGCTACCTTCTTGCAAACATCAATACATCTATCCATCAATCCATCCAAACATTCGCATTTATAATATTAGTAAAATTGAGGATATATTCTTACAAGTTTACTTTGTTATTACTGTTGACAAAATTACTGTCAAATCGTAATGTACCAGTATTTTTATTTAGTATTAATTCTTAATAAACTTTTGTTATAAAACGCCGATAACTTAACATTAACGGTATTTACAGAAAATTCCTTGCTATCGATAATATCAGCACATCACTATTTTATGCAATATTCGTACGAAACAGGCCCAATGTGGCCTTGGTTCGATATATAACCGCTAAAATTACTCCTTTCGATTTCTCTATCACAATATAATTACATGTCATGAAATTTAGACATTTTCATGGCCATTTAACAACAATGTTACAAATAAATTACGCGATACAATTTAAAATGTTGACTAACAATTTTATAATTACTTTCTACAATTACTAGAAGTAATCCTCGTCCGTGTAATGCTCCGTTTAAATCATATCGTTATCTCTGTCTTTACCTTTGGTAAAACAGAGATAAGAATAGGTTTTAAACGGAGATTTTATTTTTATAAACTCGCATTAAGTAGCTTATTGAGAGAGAGCGTCGGTGATACAGGGGTCAAGCACTTGACTTGCAATCTGCAGGTTCTGGATTCTAATCCCGCCATGTACCAATGTTTTTCGATTTCCGATTTACATATGTAATCCGACGTTTTTACGGTGAAGGAAAACAACGTGATGCAACCTACACATGTCTGAGGAGCAATTCAAAGATATGTGTGAAGTCAACCAACCCGCACTTGGCCAGCGTGGTTGACGTAATCACTCTAAACTTAGGCTAGACTCCGAGCCCCTAGGTGAGGACGTATAGTGAGCTGATGATGATGATGATGAAGTAGCTTATTTCAGTAAATAAGGGGTAGACACCAACAACAAAATCTATAGCACAAATTGACTTCGTCTAGTGAAATACGACCACACAGAAGACACACCTCAAGTGGAAGCAATTCCTACTACAGTCTGATGAGTGTACGTGCTGGAAGCCTAATTTTAGTCTTCTTATCCTATTTATTATAAAATAAATTCCAGCTTGATACCTTCACGCGTTTTTGAGAAAATGGGCCTTGACAGACAGACGGACGGACAACAAAGTGAACCTATAAGGGTTCCGTTTTTTGTCGTTCGAGGCACGGAACCCTAATAACAATGGGATGGAGGAAGATTGAGAAGGATTAAAGGCAAAGCATCTGCAATTACGGATGTCTATTAAAATGTTTTTCATCAAACTTAATCATGCATTCTTTAAAATTAATAAAAGATCGTCTGCCATTTTGAACTTTAACCAGTCGTCCTTGACATTTGAGTTCCCGCTAAATATACTTTGACATTTCGCTGTCAAATCGAAAGTTTAAAAGCGTTGTTTAGCGGTGTATTGAGTAATACTAATGTAACAATCGTTATTTCACGATTTTGACATATTCTGTCACGTTTCCTGGTTGGAGGCTTGGAGGCTTGAGCTTGCCCTAAATACGACTAGATCTCAGTCATTCTCCCCACGCTACTTAAGCGCGCATAAATCTATGCATGTTGTCGAACAACGAATGTTTTCGAACGCCATAAGAATGTCAGATAAATTTGACATATGACATTTAAAAAATCATCTTATAGTATTATATGTTAGATCTTATAAAAGTAGTTGTTGCCGACAGATACGGAACCTTTTTACACGTTTTTATTCACAATTGTTATATTTTTGAATTTAGAACTTCATACGTTTTTTCTCTTTTCTCTATATTTAAAAGTATCAGTTGTTAATATATTCTGTAACAGTGCGTGCTTTTCTCTTTATTTCTAATAATTCTATTTTATATTTTCATTTTATCTTTTTATTATATAAAATAATATTCCAAAATTCATCCTAATCCAAATGCTCTTTCCATCCTTTTATTTTCCGTCGACTTTAGTAGTCTATGTTAAAAATATTTTTGAAAAGTTTGAGCGTTCTTTATTTAAATTTTTTTACTACCATATAATAAAAAGAATCTGCTTGCATTGTCAAGACACAATTATAGACAAAAGTTTTTTTTTTAAAAACAATAAAGCACGAACTTCAAAACATACAAAATCAGGTTAGTGTTACTAAATTTCAATATGGCGGCGATAACAAAATGGCCGATTAAATAATCATCTTATCAATTTCCGCTAATGTCGTTGTCAAGGTCATAGCAAACGAATATCAAAGTCGTCACCAAACTACAATACATACGAGAAAAATAATTTATTAAAATTAAAAATACTTGTTTTAAAATACTATACAAAAATTCTATTCTCCGCGTCTGACCTTAACGCTGTAAACCTATTAAATAAAGATTATTCGGTTCCATTCTACTTTTATTTCAAATTATGTTAAGTTTTCTATGCAAACGTCGCTCAGTATAAGTCCCCACTGACGGTCTCGGAGTCTACCCTTTTTTTTCCTCAGAGGAATGCTTTATGCATACTCCGCTTCCCGGGGGACGCGGTAGTTATGTGGGATTCTCCTCCATAACGGAGGCATACCTACTAAACCTCTCTGTTCCTCCAACGCATCGGGACGGGGCCACGGGTACGCTTTCGCTCTCGTCCGCGACCCCGTCTGCGTCAGCTGCCGAGGCAGCTCCCTCGCGGACTCGAAGTCTACCCTAAGTGAGACTATGTGATAGTGAATGCTGGCCCAGTGCAAGACTTCACACATATCTTTGACTTTCTTTACAGATATGTGAAGCATAATAATTCCTTCGTCTTGAGCACGTCGGATAAATGTACATATGGAATTTGAAAATGGAAAAAACATGGTGGGGATCAAATCTATAATTTTACAATAATAAATAAAAACATACAGACGAATTGAGAACCTACTCCTTTTTGATGTCGGTTAAATAAAGGTTCTGACAGACAGACGGACGGACAACAAAGTGATTCTATTAAGGTTCCGTTGTATTCCTTTCGAGGTACGGTATACTAAAAATAATTTAAATTATCATCAATACATCAAAATGCAATTTAATCTATTAGCAGATAATAAGTTTGTAAACAACTTACGAAATTATTAAATTAAGCCTTTATTTGATAACGTTATTTTATCAAATAAAAATACAACGAACGCAGAGATTTCATTGATTTCAAGTTACAAAGAAAAACTTTGTTTTATTTACATTACGTAAAACTTTCAATTGCAAATGTCAAAATTCCAATGTTCAAATGTCAATATAGGCGTTCGCCATTGGCTGAGAATTACCGTTACCATGGCAACCATCTTTGTTGCTATTGGCTTGCAGTTTTTGTCCCTTTCTCGCATAACATTTTTTTTTAATTTGCCCGCCGTAAAAATTAGCGTGATTTACGCTTTATTATCTTACTTCTTACTAATATTATAAATGCGAATGTTTGGATGTATGGATATTTGTAGGAAGGAATCTCCAAAAACGGCTGCATGGTTCTCGATTACATTTGGCACATGTAGAGCATAGTCTGGAAGAACATAAGGCCTCAAAAAAAGAAAAATATACAGTTTGTCTATGGTGAAAATATGAAATTGGAACGATACTTACGTCAAAATATAGGTTATATTTATATATATATATATATATAATTCTTCTGTGAGTGTGTATGTCACTGAACTTCTCTCAAACGACTGGACCGATTCTGATGAAATTTTTTGTGTGTGTTCAAGGGGATCTGGGAATGGTTTAGATTCACAATTTTGTCCGCTGGACAATGTTTTTTAATTAATTTTTAATTTATTAATAGTTGTTGATTTTGGAATGTTTTACATTGGATCCGACAGACAGCGCTACCATCGCTGTGTCAAATTTTTAAATAATATTCGAATTTTCAAATTAAAGACGTGTAGACAGGACAACGTCTGTCGGGTCCGCTAGTTGCTCCATAAAACCAAGGTTTTAATAACCTTTATTCTATTATCTAGGAGTGGTTATGATTACATCAACACGTAAATTATCATTATATTTCTCGAAAGTATCAATTTACGTTGAAGTGTTTTGATACGTTGATAGTAATCGGTCAGTATCAAGCACCTTTAGTCGGAGTAACCTTGTTATATTTATTTAATCAAGATAATAAACATCTTTGTAAAGATTTGATAAAGCTCCTTTGCCCATAGACATACGCAATTATAGATGCGTTGCTTACCTTTAATCGACGGAGGAAGGGATGTACGGAACTAGAATATTTCCCCTATCTCCTCATCTGCACCCTCATCCAGAAAATCCAGTTCCACTTCCCATCTTTCCCTTATAAGAAAATGGGTAGGAAGTGAAAGAGGATTAAAATTAGGCCTCCGGGACGTACACTTATCAGACTGCACGCGGAATTACTTCGACTTGAGGCGTGTCTTAATCAACTGAATACCATGAAAATTCTCATGAATTACACAATGTTACATAAACGCCATATTTTAACGAAAAAATCAAACTGTCATTTCCATTGTCTATGGTTAAAGAACAGGAAGTTAATCCGCGGTACAGTTGTGCTATACAATAAAACATCAAGGCATCTGTGGAAAAATTCACGAAACTTCTCCAAAAGAAGAGAATAGTTAAGTGTCTCCCAAACTAGAACAAAACCATTAGCACTCTATACTGGCCTAATCCGTTACACGAAAGCCATATAAAAAAGAACAAAAAATAAAAAAATAAAATATTCTCTATTTGGTATTCACAGTTTACCTGGCTTATAATAAATCGCAAGTAACTTAAGACGCCACATTCCGGCATTCTAAGTTTGTGAGAAACATAGAGTAACGAAAATGTAGAGAAGAAATTAATTTCCTTTTATAATGTAAGTAATTCGAATGTATATCTAATTCCACTTCTACGAAAAGCGATGGTCTTATACTTATACAAAAACTTCAATTTGACAACGCATCCAAAGTTCCTCTAATATTATATGTTCATGAGAGTTTAAGAGAAGTTGTTCCTGCCGACGCCACTCTTATCTGAAAATAAAAAAAATATATTTTTGAACTTCGAGCTTGGCTCTTTAATTGTTATGGCCAGCTGGCTGAATCGGGTACCTTTGCTCGCTATTTTTTGACGTATCTATGCGTTGTATACTCTATGGTAAGACTAAGATCATTGACAGGGAAAGGGTTAGCTGACTCGCTCGCTTCGCCATTTTGAAAGTAAATGACCTTCGCACAAGGAATTGACTTTTGTTCCCGTAAAGAACAAGTTTAATTTAAATACATAATAAACTATAGTAATTAATCAAAGATTATATTGATAACTGTTGCCCTCGACTCCGTCCACGTAAATTAAAAAAAAACTTTGTGCTATTCTATGTGTTCTTCTAGACTATGTAGTACATCTATGCCAAATTTCATCGAGATCCATACAGCCGTTTTGGAAATACCTTCTAACATCCATCCATCTAAACGTTGGAATTTATAATATTATTAAGATTGCTTATCTATAAATTGTATTTGGATTTTTAGCGTAATTTTTTTGTTAAATTATCAATGTTTTTCGCCATATTTTCTCTCTTCGTAAAATCTTTTTATTTATTTTAGTTCCTACATAAATAATATAAACAGGCCAAATTTCTGTCGATTGTCGATATATTATGTTCTGTCGATAACGTACATTAATTTAGTCAATTTGTTATATTATTAAGCATATTTATAAGAGTACTATTTGAAGAATATGTAACACGACTGAAAAAGGCATAAATGTGCAAATAAATAAGAAAAAATAATCTTCGGATATATGTACTTACATATTAAATTCGTAAATAAAACTCATTACAAGGATCGACCATGGATCATAGAATTATTGTTCTTTGGTTACTCTAAGGTTACGTTCCCGCTTAAAGTTTACGCACCTGTCAGTCGGGTAAAAAACAGATCTAATTATTTTATGCGTTAAAATCTTGCGTAAAAAAAATTATAATAGCGAAATTCTAATCACATTGAACAACCGGTTTTTAATTTTAAAACACAAAAATTAAAATTCAAAATGATAGAACATTTATAATTTGTACACGGAATTGATATTACTTGACATTACTGGAAGTGTCCTTGTAGACCCGGCAGAGGCAACTTTTATTTTCTATTTATTTTTTATATGTCAGTCAATACAGCCAGTAGTAAAACATTAAGCTTTAACGTCAATAGCGATTGTAAAAAAAATAAAAACAGGAAATGCAGGTTTGTTTATCAGTTCCATAAAAACAAGTTTTACTTTTTAAATCAGATTAAATAAGTGTTATATGTAATTATGGATTGCCTATTTAGGACATACGCAAGCCGTAATAAATTTTAAATGTTACGACCTAAGCTGACATTAAATGTCTAGATAAATAACAATAGCTTTCAAAATATAATGTAATCGCTATCGTCCGTAACGCGCGTAAAAAAAAACTTAATTAGTAGTCTATGTGTTTAGACTATGTTCTACATCTATGACAAATTTCAGCGAGATCAATGCACCCGGTCAGGGAATACCTTCAAACAAACATCCATCTAAACATTCGCATTTATAATATTAGTAAGATAATCCGATTCATTACGAAAAGAAGAGTTGTTACACAAAAGATTACCTCCCTTTACGCTCTCTCTTGTCTTTTCTCTTTTAAGTTGAATTAAAAAAAGTTTAATTTAAATGCTTATGATTCATAGTATTTATGTACATTCCAAAGGTTTATGATCTGTGACATCCACCATGCCACGTTCACTTTCGACCTTGACATTCCGAAAATAATCAACCAGAGACAACCTGTTTATTTAAAAAGGATTGTCGTTTTATTAGTTTTTATAGTCTATAATATAACATGATTACAAAAGGAAAAGTAAATAAACCCGATCGGATCTTCACAAAACGACCTGGCTATGTTAAAACGGTAAATGATTTTACCCTGTGTACTTGGAATGTACGGTCACTGTACAGAGACGCAGGACTTAGATTGCTATGTCAGCAGCTTACAGCTCACGGTGCTAATATTACAGCGATACAGGAGATGCGTTGGACGGGAAAAGGCATAATAGAAAAACCTAATTTCAATACCTATTATAGCTGTCATGAGAAACATCACATCTTTGGTACCGGCTTCATCGTCGATCGAAAGATGAAGTCCCTAGTTATAGATTTTAAACCAGTAAATGAGAGGTTATGCACAATACGAATAAAGGGTAAGTTTCATAACTATACAATTGTAAATGTCCACGCACCGACCGAAGAGACGGATGATGAACAAAAGGAACGCTTTTACTCCGAACTCGAAGATTTATGTACAATGATACCAAAAGGAGACATTAAAATGATAGTTGGCGACTTTAACGCTAAAATAGGTCGAGAACAGACGTTTCTTCCTACAATTGGCAACCACGGTTTGCACGAAAACACAAATGACAATGGAATGCGTCTGATCACATTTGCAGTATCCCTTAATTTGGTTATAGGTAGCACATGTTTTCCACATAAAGACATACACAAAATGACATGGTGCTCCCCGGATGGTAAAACATTTAATCAAATTGACCACGTCCTCGTAGATAGCCGGCACTACTCGAACTTGTTAGATGTTAGGACTCACAGAGGAGCTAACATAGACTCTGACCACTTCCTCGTTGTTGCCAAAATAAGAGCTCGGATATCTAACCTGAAATATAAAAAACACCAAAAAGAAAATAAGTATAATATTCAACTTTTAAAGAACGATAATGTACGAACTCATTACCAGAGCGAAATAGAGAATCTCCTGGCAGCCACCGACCAAAATGAAAGTGAAGACCCAGAACACCAATGGCGTAAATTACAGAATATAATCCATGTTGCAGCTCAAAACAGACTGGGGTATACAGGTTCTGCAAAGCGAAACGAATGGTTTGACGAGGAGTGTAAGGCTGTTACGGACAGAAAAAATGAGGCGTATCTGAATATGCGTAGTTTTTACACACGAAACAAACATAAAAAATACGTGGAAAGCAGGCGAGAAGAGAAGCGGGTGCACCGTAAAAAGAAAAGAGCTTTTATAACATCAGAAACAGAAGACATGGTTAGGGACTACCTAAGAAACGATGTAAGAAAATTCTATCAGAGAATAAATAAAGGAAGAAGGGAATTTAGACCAAAAACATCAGCTTGTAGAGACCTGAATGGGGAGATACTGAGCGAGCAAAAGAAAGTTTTACAAAGATGGGCACAGCATTTCGGTCAACTACTAGGAAATAACGTCCGGGAAGCCCCGTACGAACAAATAGCAGTAAACATTCCCGAAACTAACATCTTGACACCAACCCTGGCGGAGGTATCCATAGGATTGAAAGGGTTGAAGAACAATAAAGCTCCGGGAATAGACAACATTCCTGGCGAGCTTATAAAGTACGGCGGTCCAAGCACTTTACATGCATTGCATTCCTTAGTTGCCCAGATCTGGAATACTGAAAAACTGCCTAGCGAGTGGAATGTGGGAACTATATGCCCACTACACAAAAAGGGAGACGTATTAGATTGTAAGAATTACCGAGGTATTTCACTTCTGTGCACGGGATATAAAGTGCTGGCAAAAGTGTTATTTAATAAACTCGCTCCATACGTCGAAGCAAAAATTGGCGAATATCAGTGTGGGTTTCGACCGAATCGCTCCACAATAGATCAAATATTTAGCCTCCGCCAAATTCTTGAAAAAACCTTGGAGTACAATGTGGATACCTATCACCTATTTGTCGATTTTAAAGCTGCCTATGATAACGTGGACCGCGCATTTTTGTATGAAGCCATGAGAGAAATCAACATCCCAGAAAAACTAATCCGCCTTACAAAGATGACATTACAAAACACAAAATGTAAGGTAAAAGTCGAGTCCGACTACTCCGAGCCGTTTTATACATTCAACGGCTTGCGGCAGGGCGATGCGCTCTCATGTCTTCTGTTCAACGTCGTCCTCGAAAAATGCATCAGAGATTCCAAGATCGTAACTTCGGGAACGATATTTTATAAATCCGTTCAACTACTGGGCTACGCAGATGATATAGATATCATAGCCAGGTCAGGGCCCGAAATGGAAAGTGCTTATCTTGCTCTCGAAGAAGCATCCAATGGAGCAGGTCTGACGGTAAATGCAGAAAAAACGACATACATGCATGCTTCAAGATCAACACCTGACATCAATGAAAAAGTTGTAACCATAGGGGAACATAACTTTGCGGTAGTGGATAGTTTTGTCTATCTGGGTTCAATGGTGACGAGGGAGAACGAAATATCTGTAGAGATCAGAAGACGAATAATGGCGGCAAATAAATGCTATTTCAGCCTTTTAAGATATTTTCGTTCTAAACTTCTAACCCGAAAAATTAAACTACTACTGTATAAAACACTGCTGAGGCCTGTACTAATCTATGGTTCCGAGACTTGGGTTCTCAGTAAAGGCGATGGAATGCATTGCTGGTGTTCGAGCGGAAAATTCTCAGGCGTATTTTTGGTGCCGTGTGCGAAGACAACCAATGGCGAAGCCGGTACAACCAAGAGCTCTATGACTTGTACCAGGAGCTGAACGTGGCGGGACACATCAAATTGAACAGGCTTAGATGGGCCGGCCACGTGGAGCGGATGGATGAAGCCAGAGTCCCTAAGAATGTTATGGCGAGTAATCCCGAAGGTCGTCGAAGTCGAGGGAGACCAAAGCTCCGATGGATAGACGGCGTTAATAAGGACGCAAAAAAAGTGGGCATAGCAAACTGGAAGTCCGTGGCCAGAGATAGACCGAGATGGAAAAAGTTGCTGGACCAAGCCAAGGCCCACAAAGGGCTGTAGAGCTAGCAGAATAGTCTATAATATTATCTATATAAAGAGGTTTAATTATATAATCTGGATTTACTTTTACTTAATTGTACTTCCTATTTCCTGAATTCACCGCTACGCTACTTTGAAGACTTACCAAATCTTACTTCTTACTAATAATATAAATGCGAAAGTTTATTTGGATCGATGGATGTTTGTTAGAAGGTATCTCCGTTACGGCTCAATAGATCTCGATTAAATTTGTCACAGATGTCGAACATATGTATTCTAGAAGAACACATGGGTTATACTAAGATCTTTTAACTCCGCGCGAAGTCGCGGGCGACAGTCTAATATAACCATAGATATAATAACATAATTTGAATTATTACGGAATAGTTACACTGTAATAGGTCTCATTTTATTTACTTTTGAAAAAAGAATATAGGATTTAATTTGAACATCGTTGATTGTAGTTAAAATTCGCTCTTTTTTTTACGTTATCAAACATGTTTTAAATTTTGTCCCTCTCATTTTCTACTAATAGTAAAAAGGTGTTATCATTTAATGTATAAACAAGTCGTTATAACGGTACGCAAATTAATTTAACTATCTTACATTAATTAGTTATAATTAGCGATTTGATGTTTCGTACTTTTATAATTATTTCACTAATAAGTGCTGCCATCTTTTGACAATAACCATAACTTGGTGTTTAACATCTTCGGTCCACTTAAATAATCCAAGTAACTTAATATTAACTTGAAATATATAAATCAACTTAAGCCCTATAGATTGCAATTTTCCTCTTAACTGAATCACAAGAGTCTAAAAATAGCACTAAATAAAGCGCTCAATAAAATCTAACATAAACACATGCGCCATTCGTAAGATTACTTCTATTGAATCTGTTTAATTTAAGTAGGTCATCTCGTTCTTTTCATGTTCAAGTGTTTGATCATATGTTTAATTTTGTCGGATAATAGTCGACTGTGATATCTGTCTCTTTCAAGTACATGTGACATAATAAATGCTATCTCTTTCCAACATGGACCACTTTCGTTTAAAAAAAATAGTAGAAATGATTAATGGCGTTGGTTCTTTGACATTTCGTAGTATTTGTGAAAAATGTGAGAATTTCAGTTTTATTCGCGGATAAATTAAGTTTTCATGAATAAAACAATATGCTTATACTAAGGAATTGGTGTTTAAATCTTGTGAAAAGGGTGTGACTCTCTGTGCTTATATGTAATCGTGGAATTGAACTAGTAAAATTTGATCATTTTACTTCTATAAATATAATAAATATTGAATTGTTTTATAAAAAATAAGAAGTTCCTATTTCATACCGGGTTTTTGTGCACTCAATTATACAAGTTAATTTCGTAAGTTCATATTACGCGAAAAACAAAAAATATATATAATTCCTAAAATCATAACATAAACAAATTTTTATTACGAAAATATTTATCTTAATAAATGCAAAATAAGTGTACCGTTAATAAATATGGTATTATAAAGCTGAATCTTGTGATTAAATATGAAAATTGTGATTTAGTGTTTTGCGAAAACTGTGGACATTCTAATTCTAAAATGGTTACGATGAATTCATCAGAAAAGGTTGGGCAGAAAGCCATGCAACAAGGACCCTCTAGGTTTGTATATTTTTTGGCGCGTTTTTATCACTTCCTGTAAGATATAGGTCAATTAACAGTTTTCATAACTGTATTGTACACAATCTAAGCTTATGGTTATTGAATACTAGCTGTCGCCCAGAACTGTCTGCACGGAATTAAAAAAAACTTAATTAGTAGCCTATGTGTTCTATATTATGTTCTACATTTATGCCAAATTTCAGCATGTTCATCCAGCTGTTCTGGAGTTATGTTCAAACAAATCTATGCAAATATTTTCATTCATAATATTAGCAAGACTATTTGTGATGCTGATCATAGACAAAAGTATTTTATTTATAGCATACTACAATTACACCCTTAGGGTAGGCTCCGAGCCCCTTGATGGGGACATATAGTGAGCTGATGATGATGATACTACTATTAGACATAAATTAAACACCTTTTGTAATCTATATCAGCTTAAAATTCATTATGTAGTCAGCCATATTGGATTTACTAGGTAACAAACAACCATCCATCCACACATTTGTAGTTTCAAAATACTTTTTTTTTGGTGAAAGCATTATAAAATATTTTGAGATGTTCTTTTCCTTCGTTAACAGAGAATCGAAATGTGTGAAAGAAGACAAAGATATCCACAAAGAGAAGGAGAAGAAAGAAGTAGGTATTGCAAACCTGCCACCAAATGTACAAGCTTTGATGTCAACTATACCATCACCGGAAGAATCACCTAACTATTTGATTTATAAGAAGGTAATTAATAGTTGTTTTTCTCAAAAACTAGCTGTAACCTGCGATTCCGTCCGCACGGAATTAAAAACAAACGCAGTAGACTATGTTCTATATGCATGCCAAATTTCATCGGGATTGATTCAGCTGTTCTGGAGATACCTTCAAAGAAACATCCATCTAAATATTTGCATTTATAATATTAGTAAAATATGTGTGAAGTCATCCCCCACTGGGCCAGCATTGACTATGACCTAGTCAGTGACTAGGGTAGGCTTTGTAAATTACCAAACTGCTGCCTATAGACATTCATGATAGCAGATGTGTTGTTTACCTTTAATCAACAGATTGGATGCACAGAAGAGAATATTTCCCATTCCTATGTAGCTCCTACTTCATCTAATCCCCTTCCCTTTCCTATCCTTTCCTTACGAACAAAAGGGTGGCAAAGGAAACAGGATTATTTTTAAGTCTATGGTATGCAATGAAGAATACTGGCTTTAATGAAAAGTTTTACTTTTCCAGATGGAATCCATTGTAGAGAAGATGCAAGATGAGACAACAGGTGTGCCTGTCAGGACTGTCAAGAGCTTCATGAGTAAAATACCTTCGGTGAGATTTTTATAGTATAAGATCTTTATAGTACAAGAGCCAATGAAAAAGTACACAATTGAATTTCATTTCGTAGTGAAGTGACTACTACCAATATATATTCGCAACAAGTTAAAATGCATAGAAAGAGTATATTACCTCACTGGGTGTCCCCTACCCTGTCAAATACACTTACCTATACTATCCTTAATAGAAGTGGGTGGAAAAAGATAGTCAGGGGGTGCACAGAAAAATGTATTGCCACACTAAGTGTCCCTTACTCTGCCAAATACATTTACCTATCCCATCAGTATAAGAAAAGGTTGGGAATGTATTAAAATTTGGACTTCAGCACCCACATTTATCAGACTGTAAGCAGACTTCTACTTCATGCCTGTCTTCTGTGTTGTGATATTGTGCCAAGCGAGTAAGAAATTGGTGGATGCTGGTTTTAGATCTTTCTATAATTTGCCAGGTGTTCACCGGTTCAGATCTGGTGGCATGGATAATGCGCCACTTTCGCCTAGAAGAGACCTGGGAGGCGCTGCACTTCGCGCATCTTCTTGCAGCTCATGGCTACCTGTTCCCTATAGATGATCATTGTTTGACTGTCAAGAATGATAATACTTACTACAGGTTAGTGGGCGTTTCCACTGCTGATTGTATCGTTGTTAAAATGTCAAGCAAGACTCAACTTATTCAATTTCCTCTAGGTACCAGACCCCATACATATACACGGAATCTATTCAACCTCCTGTAACAATACTATTTTCTTTCAGATTCCAGACACAATACCTCTTTACAGGGTCTATTAGACCCTGTATATCAATATTAATTCGTTCATATTCCAGACCCCATACCTGTCTACAGGGTCTATTCGACCCAGTATATCAATTTTATTTGCTTTAGATTCCAGACCCCATACTTCTGGCCATCCAACCAATGGGAGCCGGAGAACACAGACTACGCTGTTTACCTCTGTAAGCGTACAATGCAGAACAAAGCTCGTCTAGAACTGGCTGACTACGAGGCGGAATCGTTGGCCAGACTGCAGAAGATGTTTAGTAGGAAATGGGAGTTTATATTCATGCAGGCTGAGGCTCAGAGCAAGGTATCTTACGAATAAAAAAAATTTAATTAGTAGTCTATGTGTTCTTCCAGACTATATTCTACATGTATGACAAATTTCAGCTTGATCCATGCAGCCGTTCTGGAGATATCTTCTAACAAACGTACATCTAAACATTCGCATTTACAATATATTTGTTATCCCATAACTAAAGAAATTAGATTAGATATATTTGTTGTTAAGAAAATGCTATAGCAAAGATAGAAAAGCTCAGTTTTTTTTTCATGCAACTAGCTTAAAAGCTAAAATTGTCTTATATTGGCTATTCTAAATAAGCTTTCTTTATTTACATAGATTTTTATAATTAAATATTGGAAACAGAACAGGTTGGACGAAGATGGTGGAGGCCTTTACCCAAAGATGACTATTCTAAAATAAAGCTTTGTATTTTGTACATGTATTACAACAGTGAAAACTCATTAATGTTGATTTAATTTGATTCCAGGTTGATAAGAAAAGAGATAAATTGGAAAGGAAAGTGTTGGACAGTCAGGAGAGGGCGTTCTGGGATGTTCATAGACCTATGGTGAGTTAATCTATTAGTTTACACTGAAACTGAACCTTAGGAGTCGAAAAGACCTTGTAGGGGGTCGAAGAAACCTTGTAGGGGGTCAAAAAGACCTTGAATGGTATCGGAACTTCAGATTATTTTTACTAAATAAAAGTTTGTGTTCTTCAAGACCATGTTCTATATGTATGACAAATTTCATTAAGATCTTCAGATGTTCTGGAGATAACTTCAAACAAACATCTAAACATTCGCATTTATAATATTAGTAATATATAATTTCCAGCCCGGCTGCGTTAATACAACAGAATTGGATCCAAAGAAATTGTCTCGTATTAATGCGTTGAAAGCAAGACGACTGCGTCAGTGTCAGGAATTGTTGTTGCAGCATAATATAAAGGTAAGAAATAAAAATATACAGGGTCTTCATATTGTGACGTCACAGCTCTCCGAGAAAAATATATACAGGGACACCATTATTAAAAGATTTCAATCATCCTGTATTATTAAAAGATATGGGACATCTTGTATTATTAAAAGATATCGGACATCCTGTATTATTAAAAGATTTGTGACATTTATTATTTATTTATTTATAAAATAAATTCCAACTTGATACGTTCACGCGTTTTCGAGAAAAAGGGTCTTGACAGACGGACGGACGGACAACAAAGTGATCGTATAAGGGTTCCGTTTTTTCCTATGAGGTACGGAACCCTTAAAAATAATACACCCTGTATTACTAAAGGATTTTTAAAACAAAATTTTGAATCTGATTCGAGTTTTATAAGAAATTGTTCAAATAAAATCGTTATAAAGATTTAAAAAGGCTTAATATTTTTTTTAATTTAAAATTTGCTTTATTTCTAGACAAATCCGATAGTAACAATAACAAATCCGCAAGAAATTGAAGAGGAAATACAGAAAAATGCTGAAATTAATACTGTCAAGGAAAATGGTAAGAAACCCATCTTATCTATACTAATACTAGTTGTCGCCCGCGACTCTGTCCGCCCAAATTAAAAAAAAAACATAATTAGTACCTTATGTGTTCTTTCAGACTATGTTCTATATGTATGACAAATTTCATTAACATCCATACAGCAGTTCTGGAGATATCTTCTAACAAACATACATACAAACATATTTATAATGTTAGTAAGAAGTAAGATAATAAACCAAATTTCTTTATATCAAAAAATCTTAGCAATCACAGCATATTTTTGAATAATTCCCTTTGTTATAAAAAACCCTATACTTAAGTCACGCTGTAGGCTATATATTTTCACGCTATTACACTTAGGAGGTGAATAAATTGAATTGTGTTTATAATAGAAAGGGATATATTGCTAGCCATTCAGCAAAGATGGCTGCCATGGTAACGGTAATTTTCAGCCAATGACAAAGGCCTAATTTCATTTAGACTTATGCAGTCATTCTGGAGATATTCTAACAAACATACATACAAACATTCGCATTTATATTAGTAAGAAGTAAGATAATAAAAAAAAACTTCTTTATATTAAAAAATCTTGGCAATCACAGCATATTTTTGAATAATTATTTTTCTTATAAAAAGCTCTATACTTAAGTCACGCTGTAGGCTATATATTTTCACGCTATTACAATTAGGGAGTGAGTAAATTGAAAAAAAGTCGCTATGAGAGAAAAGGTCAAAAATTGCAGGCCAATAGCATCAAAGATGGTTGCCATTGTAACGATAATTCGTAGTAAATGGCGAACCGATTCATTTAGCTTCATAAAGCCGTTATGGAGATATCTTCTAACAAACATTCGCATTTATATTAGTAAGAAGTAAGATAATAAATCATAAATAAACTTCTTTATATCAAAAAATCTTAGCAATCACAGCATATTTTTGAATAATTCTTTTTGTTATAAAAAGCTCTATACTTAAGTCATGCTGTAGGTTATATATTTTCACGCTATTACACTTAAGGGGTGAGTAAATTGAAAAAATATATTATGCAAGAAAGGGACAAAAATTGCAAGCAAATAGCGAACGCCTTTCATTTCATCAAGCAGTTTTAGAGATACCTTCTAACAAACATTCGCATTTATAATATTATTAAGATATCTTATTTCAAAGATTGTTAATTATACAAGTATTTTGACAATGTAAACATTAGGCGAAACATCAGCAATAATAGAGCAAACTGAGGCCGTACAGCAAGATATAGAGCAACAAATTGAAACAGCAAGGAGACAAGTTGCGGTACTAAAAGCTCGTCTTGAAAGAAGAAATGTACGAGTCAGTAAAGTTGCTGATATGTAAGTACTAGCTGATGATGATTTTTTTTTATAACACAAGGTGGCAAACGAGCAAGCGGTCAACTGAAATCGCTGAAATAGCGAAGTGATCGTTGCAAATAGACATACGCAATTGTATATGCGTTGTCTACCTTTAATCGACGAAGGAGAGGATGCACAGAAAGAAAATATTTTCCCTTTCCATGCATCCTCTCATCTGGAAAGTCCACTTCCACTTCCCATCCTTTCCTTATAAAAAAAAGTGTGGAAAGGGAAAGAGGACTAAATTAGGTCTCCGACACGCACACTCATCAGACTGTAGTTGGGATTACTTCGCACTTGAGTCGTGTCTTCTGTGTGCTCGTGGTATTTCACTGAGCGAGGACAATTCCTGCGAACATGTTAAAGCGAGCTCTACCACTGTTAAAAACATAGGATAAATTACAAATCAACTGCATTTATCTTATGTTAAGGTGAAGGAAAACATCGTGATGCTGCACATATCTGAGAAAGTCAAATGTGTGAAGTCTTGCACTGGACCAGCATTCACTATCACATATCACTTAGGGTTGACTCTACCCTAAGTGGGGATTTAAAGCTGATGATATTTTTATTCAGGTTTATATCATTCTGCGAACAATATGTTGAATATGATCCATTTTTAACACCACCGGAATGGGCAAATCCATGGATAAATGACACCACGGAGCTATGGGACCAAGAGAAACAGTGGTATGTTATATGTATTGTAGTAAATGTAAACAAATTAACTGACCAGATAGACTTCGAACTGCCTCAAATACGGGAAAACTGTTTTTAGGATTTTAAACCTTCTCTAGACCTACAGGAATATTTAAAGACCAAGATATGATAAATTCGTTCACTTCTCGAGTTTTAGCGAGACTAACGAACAGCAATTGATTTATATTATATATAAACTAGCCGTCGCCCCCGACTCCGTCCGCGTGGATATATAAAAAAACTAAAAATAAAAAAATAATAAATAGTATCCTATGTCCGTCTCCATGCTCTAAGCTACCTCCTCAACAATTTTCAGACATATCGGTAAAGTCGTTCTTGAGTTATAAATAGTGTAACTAACACCTCTTTCTTTTATATATATATAAATATAAAAATTAGTAGTCTATATGTTCTTCCAGACTATGTTCTATATGTATGACAAATTTCATTTAGATCCATACAGCAGTTCTGGAGATACCTTCTAATATACATCTAAACATTCGCATTTATAATATTAGTAAGATTAATAAAATTAAAAAGCTTGTATGTATGAACAAAACAATATTTTAAGTATTTTTTTTTAAATATTTGTATGTATGTATGTACGTTTGAGTTCATTCATTCATTCAAACCTTATTTCAGTAGGATAAAGTTCAATTTTACTTACAACCTCTTTTTAAACTTAATAAAAATATGTACAAAGTTAAATAAACCTTAAACCAACACAATAAAGTTCAATATGCGATTAAAATCTACTGTAAACTCCGCCGTAGTATAAACGGACCTTTAATCATATAACAGCAAAGATCCACTGCCCTCCCGCCGTGTCCGGCGCTGGGCATTCGGTCTGCGGGAGCTGCTGCAGGACAGCGCGGGCAGGGAACACTTCGCCAAGTTCCTGTCCAAGGAATTCAGTGGCGAGAATCTCAAGTTAGTATATTATATACACAAACACTATACACACTACATTAACACACATCGTGGAATTTGGGTAAGCGAGAAACCACTATAAGTGAGAATATTTTTCCAGTCTGCTCCGTAAGCGAGAAACCTCTATAAGCGAGAATGTTTTTCCGTCTGCTCCCTAAGCGAGAAACCTCTATAAGCGAGAATCATTTTCCGCTTTACTCCGTAAGCGAGAAACTCGTGTAAGCGAGGAAATTCAAAGTCCAAATGGGCGAACCCCGTAAGCGATAAATTTGGGTTAGAGAGAAACCTCTATAAGCGAGAATCATTTTCCGGTCTGCTCCATGAGCAAGAAACTGTTAGGAAGAGTCAGTGTTCGGTCCGGATGGGCGAACTTCATAAGGGAGAAATTTGGGTTAAAGTGAAAACTCTATGAAATTTAGGAGTTTAGGAGATACCTTTTAATAAACATACATCTGAACATTCGCATTTATAATATTAGTAAAATTTATTTAATGTCATTTTTATGCTAATGTATGAAGTTAAGAAAATTTTGATTATAAAAGTCATGGCCATGTCATGGCTTTGCATCAAAACGGATCTCTTTCAGATTCTGGTTGGCAGTGCAAGAGTTGAAGTCTTTGCCAATAAGTCGCGTTGCTTCCTACGCTAAGGACATTTGGAAGGAATTCTTAGCCGTGGACGCGCCATCTCCGGTCAACATTGATGCTGCTAGTCGGTTAGTTTATAGATTCTAGTAGTTTCATGGTAGTTTCTGGTAGTTTTTGGTAGTTTCTAGAAGTTTTTGAAAGTTAATGGAAGTTTAGAGCCCGCGTATCCTTACGCGTGGAATTAAAAAATAACATAATTAGAAGTCTATGTGTTCTTCCAGACTATGTTCTATATGTATGACAAATTTTATTGAAGTACGTTTAGCAGTTCTGGAGATACCTTCAAACAAACATACATACATCGAAACATTTGAATTTATAATATTAGTAAGATTCTGATAGCTTTTGGGAGTTTTTATAGCTTTTTGGAAGCTACTGTAAGTTTGCGGAAGAGTCGGAAAATTTGTTGAAGATTCTAGAAATTACTGGAACTTTTTGGAAGTTTTAGTAATATCTGGAAGTTACTAGAAATATCCGGAAACTTCTGTATGTTTCAGAAGTTTGAATGTTGGTTACTAATAATAAAAGTTTGATAGCGCCATCTATACGTCAGTACGTTTACAACGCCATCTGTTGACTTTTGTCTGTTTGTTTTGAAGCTTTTTTTAAATTGTATTTTACAGTGAATTGACTAGAGTGAAAGTGGAGTCGGGAAAACCGGACAGATACTGCTTTGATCAAGCACAAGTAAGTTTTTGCCCTTGAGGGTAATATTTGCAAAAATGTGTAAATTGTAAAAAAAAAACTTAATTAGTAGTCTATGTGTTCTTTCATACTATTTTTTTATATCATAAGGTGGTAAACGAGCGAGCGGTCACCTGAAATCGCTGAAATAGCGAAGTGACCGTTGCCCATAGACATACGCAATTGCATATGCGTTGCCTACCTTTCATCGACGGAGGAAATGCACAGAAAGATAATATTTTCCCTTCCCATGCATCCTCTCATCCGGAAAGTCCACTTCCACTTCCCATCCTTTCCTTATAAGAAAAAGGATGGGAAGGGAATGAGGAATAAATTAGGTCTCCGACAGGCACACTCATCAAACTGTATTTGGAATTGCTTCAACTTGAGGCGTGTCTTCTGTATGGTCGTGGTATTTCACTGAGCGAGGACAACTCGTGCAGATGTTAAAGCGAGCTCTACCACTGTTAAAACTATGTTTGACTATGTTCTATATGTATGATAAATTTCATCAAAATCTGTTGAGCTGTTCTGGATATACCTTCTAACAGACATACAGAAATTCGCATTTATAATATTAGTAAGATTTCTTTGTATTTTCTTTTCCAGGCTCACGTGTATCATTTAATGAAATCAGACAGTTATTCTAGATATTTGCGTTCAGAAATGTATAAAGATTATCTAAATGGAGCTAAAAAGAAGGTAATTTTTATATATATATCTAACTCCGTCCGCTTGGTATGAAATAAATACTTAATAAGGGAACATATCCATACTACTTGACCTATTTTTTTAGTTTTTTCGACCTCTCCCTCCCCTCTGTGAACACTCGTACTACATGCCAAAACTACCCCCCCTTTAGTTTTTACAGGTAACAATTGAATAAGAAATAATTTGGCTCATACTCTTCTTTATAGCATAAGACTGCATGCATACTTAAATTACTAGTTAATTATGTATTATGAAAAAAAAAAACAAGTAACGACTACGTGACTAAAATCTGACCCCCCCCCCACTCCTGTGACTGACCGTAGTATTTTAAAGACTCCGCTCCCCCCTCCTAAACGTGTCACGTAGTATGGGTATGTTCCCTAAGTAGTCTATGTGTTCTTCCAGACTATGTTCTACATCTATGTCAAATTTCATCGAGATCCAGCTGTTTTGAATATACATTCAAACAAACATCCATCCATCCATCCATTCGCATTTATAATATTAGTAAGATTTTTTTTGCACATCTGTTCAGTAACTGTGGAAAATTTCATGTCTGTTCGTATAATTTTCTTTACAAATGTATATATATATATATATATAAGTTTTCACGTATTTTAATATTGTTTTTTTCTTTCCAGACATCAGTGAAAGGAATTAGATCTATCGTGTCTTTTACGGGCCGTAAAGAACAGTCTACAAACTAATGTTTGTCTGCAAACATATAAAAAAGAACATAAAAATTACTTGTTAATGTCAAATCTGACAGTTCGTGTCTATAGCAGATTTTAATCTGTGTTTCATTTGACATGTCAATTTTTTTTTTCAATGTCGTGTATAAACTTATTACTTGGAAGGTGTGACATTAAATTATGTCAGCTGACTGCCCGACAATGTCACTGCATCCTTGTCGGACTTTGTCACTCTGACAGATGTCAGTGTGACGTCGTTATGTTGTCCTATACTAAAATGTAAAGAAATACTCATCCTAACATAAATGTGAGTTTATGTTTTTTTTTTATAGATCATATTAGTGTTTAGAATATAGGAAGAATGTAAAATACCTTTTTGTAGGAAAATCATTTTTTTTTAAATTAAATTTAAGACATAAAAGCCAATGCAATGACAATCTAAATGTAAATAATGCATTTTTTTATTATTTTCTGTCGATATGACAGTTTGACAGTAAACCGACATATATAATTTTGACAGGCTGTCAAAATTATTTAGTAAAATTGCAGTTAACAATGCAATATAACTTCACAGTCATATTGTAAATAAAAACATGTGTTTTTTTTGTTTTTGAAATATACTCATTAAAATAAAAAAAAATATTAGAAATATTAAGAACATTTTATCAATACAATCTTCAAATGTTTATCCTTTATTGTATAGTCGAACCTGGATAACGGAGAGTCCAAGAGACCGGGGTTTTCTCTCTTGTAGAGGTTTCTCTTTAACACGAGTTCCTCGCTTATAGAGGTTGGGTCCGGACATTGACTCTCGCTTGTAGGTTTCTCTCTTACCCGAGTTTCTCGCTGATGGAGGTTAAGAACTGACGTATAACTCTCAGAGTTTTTCTCCAAACCGAGTTTCTCGCTTATAGAGGTTGGGTCCGGACTCTCGTGTATAGACGTTTCTCTCTAGCCCGAGTTTCTCGCTTATAGAGGTTGTCTATTGGTATTATACAATGACTCTCGCTCTGCGTTTCTTGTTTATTCGGGTTCGATTTGTGTCTTAGATGTTTATCTTGGATTTTCGCTGTCTAGACATAGAATTTCACGTGATCGTAACTTAACAACGGTTATAACTGGTTATAAACAATTATAGCCGTTTTTGAATGGTTATATGTATTGTGGACTATTTTATGTACAGAACGAGACATGCCAAAGATAAATCTATATTTTTTTTCGAGTAGAATTTTTCAACATAATCTTTTCTTTGACGTACAGAAGCTGAAAATGTCAAATCTCGTATCAAACCAAAGTTTTTTTTTAATATTAAGACTTAGTTTTTTTTATTGTAAGCAAATTTGTTAGATTGTAGTTTGTTTGGATAAGTAGTTTTTTTTTCAATTGTGTACAATTTTTAATTTCATCACTTATTATTGTGGTTTCAAGGAAGATCTGAAGTTTGTAAATAAATACAATCTAATCTGGAAAAGCGAGAGGCCAAGCGATGTTTTCACCCGAGTTTCTCGCTTATAAAGGTTTCTCTCTAACTCGAGTTTCTCGCTTATAGAGGTTTCTCTCTAACTCGAGTTTCTCGC